ATTATATATACATATCTTTATAAAAAAATCTAAAATATTTTAATATTTTCTAATAAACATGTAGATTTATTTTATATTATTAAAATTTTATAAAACATCGTGCTGTTCATACAATAAAATGCTATAATATACGTGATGCTGTAATGAATCATTAACCTAAATCGTTTATTGAAAGAATATTTTGTCGAAACATCAAAATGATTATGTAAATTCGTTGCTGGAATATTAAAACTTTTTGCAGCATTGTCATCAACACTTAATAACTATTCAGTAAGTATTACATACTTATTTCGATGGTTTCCAACAAATTATTTTTAAATTTTATAGCTACTTAGATCTTATAACTTTTTTAAATACTTCAGCAAAATCGTTCTCTCTTTTTTCGTGTTACATATAAAACTTGAAAAATTCTTAATATCTTTCTGAATTATAAAAATTATGCTGTACCATTTTAGAAAATTCTGCTTTAACACGATACTTCATTTGCCAATACGCATTTATATCTATAATAGACTGGAGTCGTTTCAATGCTACTTCCGTGACGATATTAGCCGGCAATTTTTCTCCGTTAATTCGCGGCGATTTGCGTACGCGATCATGTAAGAGCGATTCTTGCGGGCGGTAAAGGACTCCTCATTACAGCCAGCAACGTCTAATTAGTCCGCTCCTCTAGAACACGGCAGCACATACAGTAAATTACGTCAGGCTTGTGCATTTTTCCGTCGCTTTTATTCGTGCGGCCGACAAGATGACGTCGGGATATCTCCACGAGGCATTAAGCTGCATGACTTGCGAATCCGCCGACAGATCTCGGCCCACTGCTCCCTTTTCGGTACGAACACTATAGTGACTGGCGGCAAAGGTAATATCGCGACGCGAAAGAAGAAGCGCAATTTTGGACTCATCGTAGAGACGCACCAGTGAGCAGCTGATTAAAAAAATATCGTTAGGTAACTCAATCTTTTTGCCAAGTTGCAATGTTATTTTCGTCACGCATTTAAATGTAAAGTAACAACGTATGAATCACGTATGTATATTAGACTATATAAAAGATGCATAGTTTAAGAGTAAAAAAGTTAATAAAGAAATTTCTTATGATTTTTTTTTTAATAAACATTTCTTGTTTGAATGTTCTATGTGGAATTGAAAATTCTTAAACCCATTTTACAATTACGTAAGCGTAGTTGTAAGAATTAATCAATCAGTCGAATATCTCCTCATATTTGACTACACTTAGAGAAAGGTTTTTTCGATTAAAAAAAAATGTTTCTTTACTATATATTAAAGAAAAAATTTCTTTGATTTGTGAACGTCATTTCTTGGATTTGAACGTAATTTCTTTAAATTAAATAAATTTTATTTAAAAAAAAAATGATTAAATCCAAGAAATGACGTTCACAAATCAAAGAAATTTTTTCTTTAATATATAGTAAAAAAATATTTTTTTTTTAATCGAAGAAACCTTTCTCTGAGTGTAGTCAAATATGAGGAGATATTCGATATGATTGATTAATTCTTACAACTACGCTTACGTAATTGTAAAACGAGTTTAAGAATTTTCAATTCCACATAGAACATTCAAACAAGAAATGTTTATTTAAAAAAAAAATCATAAGAAATTTTTTTATTAACTTTTTTGTTCAAATCATAATTTCTTTAAATCAAATAAGTTTTATTTGATTTAAAAAAATAATGTTTAAATCAAACAAATGACGTTTACAAATCAAAGAAATTTTTTCTTTAACCATATAGCAAAAAAACATTTCTTTAAATCGAAGAAACCTTTTCTCAGGGTGTATGATTAGTCAATTCTTGCAACTACAACAACCACTTACGACAACTACATTTGCGCAATTATAGAATGGACTTTATAAATTTAAGATTACAAAGATTTTTGTAGAACTTGAAGATTCCCTCAAGAAGCTTTTGATATATTGAATTTTCAAATCTTCAACTCGTTCGAGACAGTAGTATATAAATTATGTAAAACCATGTTCTTAAAGGACGCTTCAAGATATTTGAATTCTTTTCCTACAATTTAGTCCACGTCTCTCACTAATAAAATTCTTAAACTTTACCGAGTTTTAAAATCCCTGAATGCTCAGAGTTCAAGTTACATCCATCGTAAACGATGGTCCGTTTCGTACAATTAGGGGGTCGAACGCAATCCTGAGGTCGTGCTGCATCTCGATTTGCACCGACGCGGGCTAAAGTGCAACATGTGCCGGTTGCATAAACCGAGAGAGAGACGAGAGGAAGAGTTTGAGGTCGGTCGTTTGGAATTGCTCGATTAAGGCCATAGACTGCAGACCCCGCTATCAAAAGACTATCGTACGAGATATGTGCAGTGAAGTGCAGTGATGCATCGAGATTGCCGGCACGGGGATACATTCGCCGAAGATCGATAGAAGGTTCAACGAATTTTCGCTAAATCCACCGAAAACTTCGTATCGCAGTTTGCAAAATACCTCTAAGAAAAACCTCATCTATTTTTATGTTGCTCGCGTAAATTTCGGGTAGATTACACTTACATGGTTATCGCAGTTTAAAAATAAAAAAAAAACGCTGTAAAACGAAGAAACATTTTATCTTTTTTTCACGTATTTTTTAACGTAAAAATTAACAACTTATGCATGTTCTTATATTAATGCAGATTAATTTTAATTTCGCTTCAACTTACTCTTTTTTCTCTAGTTCTAAGAATTAGAAAGAGATAACAAATAAGTTGAATCAAAATTTAAGTTAATCTACATTGGTGGAAATGGGCACATTTGAGTTTTCCCGAATTTATTAATTTTAGTAGACAATAAGGATATTTGCTAACTGCAACAGCGAATCGATGCGGAAGGAAGAAATTTGTCGTTTCAAGAAGATCGATTAGGGCCACAGTTTGCAGACAATGTCAAGCAGCTATCAAAAGGCTATCGAGTGAAGTGAAGTGAAACGATGCACCCGCGCGTGTGCGAGGAAAAAGTTTAATAGGTAATATAAGAATTTGATCCGCGATATAAAGCAGACCATTTTCATTGGGGCGTTCATTCACGCATAAATAATCGAATCATGTTATGACTGATACCGCATAATTACACGTATTAAAAATTATGTAAAAATTATCAGCAGTTTCGATACCTCTCTCTTCTCTATTATAAATATCTTTTATAAGGAATTTTATACAATCATACGTTTAATTTAATTAATTTTATTGTTTTATTTCTATCTATTTATCATGCAATTATTATTACAATTCAATCAACTGTATAGCAGTTTGATATGAAAAGAACAGAAAAAAGTTAATTTGTATTTCTAACTTAAGTTTGATGCACGTAATAATAATAAATTCTCATAAATTTTAATTTAATTAAACATTTGATTAAAACTGGTAATACGTCTTTATTTCTCGCGGCTGGAAATTTGTCAGGGAAATGGAATCCTCAATGCGATTACGGTGCAGTTGTATATGTGGATGGGACAAAACGATTTTCAGGCAGGGCTGGCGATAATTGCGCGGCCCGAAGCGCAACAGTAAATCGTACAAATGGTGCAGAAGAGAAAGGTTTTGTCGTTGGAAATCGGTCGATTAAGGCCATAGACTGCAGGCACTGCCAATCAGCTATCAAAAAGCTATCGAGCGTGTGAAATGAAGTGCGGCGATGCGCCGCGGATATGACAAACCGATGTGGAAGTTAGTCAGGGAGATAAAACGAATACTAATTTCCCTGTAAACTCTCTAATTTCTGTGCAAACGCTCAGGTTCGATTTTTTTTATGGTCAAAAGAGAGCACACTTAAACGATTTTGCTGAAATACCTGAAAATTTAAATACAGATCTGAAAATAATTTTCTTGGATTATCAAAATAATTATGCAGAAAATTCAAGCAGAATGAGTAATGCTACAAGTTTTAACATTCGAATAGCAAAAAACTTGAACGTTCTGCATAATTTATTTTCATAATCCGACAAAATTATTTTTAGATCTGTATTTACATTAAGAAAAAAATTGTTTGGCTTAAGTTGTCTTTTTATTTTTTATTTATTTATTTTTTTCATTGAAAAATGTATGTATTTAATTTAAATATTACATGTATGACTTAAATACACATTTTCCATTAAAAGAAATAAAGACAAACTAAGTTAATTTAGCGAAATAAATTTAGCGAAATAAAACAATTTTTTATGTAGGAAAATTGTAAGTATTTTAGCAAAATCATTTTTTCTGTGTAGATACATACCGCAAAAAGTAGTAGGCATAAAAATACTTAAAAGTTAAAGAGTAGACAAGGTTGATAAAAATCATGTTTAAAACATGTTTAATCGATGTTTTTGCCATGTTTTTTAATACTGTTTAAAACATGTACGAAGCATTAAAAACATGTTTGAAGAAGAAAAACAATGTTTTATTAAAAAGAAACATAATGTCTTATCAATCTTGCGTTAAGAGTCTGATAATATACTAAAAATATGTTTACATTTCACAAAAATGATTTATGCTTATAATACGTAAAATAAATATTTATAGAAAAAATCTATAGAAAAAATTCTTACTCCATAAAGATTTAGATATTCAGTAAAATATACTTTTTTATATTGTTCGCGACTGATCTCTTGAATATTTTTATAACGTGATTTTTTTCATGAAGCAGTCAAAGGAGCAAAATACACAAGCTTCTACGCACAGAATTTTCAAAAGTAAAATTTCCATATATTAAAAATATTGAAATTTTAGATAGAAAGAGAATACATTTTTAAATTTCAAAAAATTTAATAGGAAGTCTTCTTAAATTAAAATAAATTATAGATCTTCGAAAGATACATATGATAGTCATTCAGTATAAGAGTGATAGATTTTCACTGTCACTTGATAATGAATAATGATCAAAGAGCGCAATTCGATATCTACACAGGATGCAATGACAGACTATATATATTGTTGCACGTAATCTATCGCATGCAAACGGCGAAATGTAGCGTGACCGATACATCAGAGACAACAGCGTGAAGGATTAAGGTTTAGTGCAGGTATCGGCTTTACTACGCGGCCGGTAGAGAACTACGCCACTACGCCTAGTCGCAAATAATTGATTGAAGTCATCCTTGAAGTCAATGAACAGTGGCACCATTTTTAACCGTTGAGTAGTGAACTTAGATCGTGCTGTTTGACCCAATATTCGTCGCGTGGTGTTCCGTTCCGATCGATCACTATCGCAGACACAGCGAGCGGACAAACATCTTCCTGCACGTTATAATCCCGATTGTTATACGGTAAAAATATAATTCATCGCGATGTGTAAATGCGATTTTGTCGATAACTCGTTTAATTAAAATATGAATATGCTTCTCTGAATTATATCAATATGTCAACGTTAAAATATTCGAATAAAGATTAAAATGGTTTGATTTTTCCTTATTTAACTATCTGATATCGCAAATATATATATATATATATATATATATATATATATATATATATATATATATATATATATATATATATATATATATATATATATATACCCATCGTTCTTTTAATATTTTAATTTATATTTTTAAACATTTGGCATACATGGTCCCTTTTTATTTTATAAAAAATAAAACAAAGAAAAATGAATTTTAATTTTATAATTAATAAACTAATCCAAGTTGACTAAAAATGTAGCTCGTATTACGCTGAAACGAGCAATGAGAAAGTCTTGCAGCAAGTCAAGAACACGACACTTTCGTGGCGGTCAACAGCCGTAGTTGTTGCGACATACGCCATTTTCACCTGCGCCGCTGCACATACACCCTAACAATGCATCCGTCGACACGATTTTTCCCCCGAGAAATTGATTCGTTTACTGATATTCTTACTTTTATTTAACGCATTTGCGCTAAAACATTTTTAACGCGATAATCATAGACTATTAAATATAAAAATATAGTTAAATAATCATATTTAGCGTCAAATCGCGAAAATGTGAAAGATCAAATTTACGTAAATTACAAATAACAATAATCAAATAAACTATTACATTCTAATTCGCAGCATGTGGATTTCTGATTATCGAGAGACTTCGTTCATCTTTTGCATAAATTATTTTTTAAATTCTTAAAGAGTTTCATTTGATACGTGCTGTTTTAATGTTTCCGAATCTTATTATCTTAATTATCGATTTGAAAAACGTTAAAAATAGCAGGTGCATTCAATTGATATTTTTTTTTGTCATATATACTTATTCATATCCGATTTATGTTCGAAATAGAAAGACTCGACAGATGGTTGAAGTTCTTATTAAGAATAAAAATTTGAATAATAATATATAATAATATATAAGTGTGATACATAAACAGGTGCAATGATATCGAGACCATTGTAATGCGATACGCAAATTAAAAATTAAATTAGACATCGTGTTGAACGTGTAGTTGGGTGAACGCAAGGAACATCGGGACGAGAAGAGGCAACCAGATTTCGATGTTGAAAGGCCGAGAAGTGGGAAAACTCGCGACTTGCTCAGCCGGAAATCGCGGAAAATCGAAAGAGAGGAGAGGACCATGGGGGGGAACCGGGGAGGGAAAATGCGAGGCGCTTGCGCGACGGCTCGTTTCCATGGCTTCGTAACGTTTCGCGTAGCAACGCGAGGACTTTTGACCCCGTTCGATTGTCCTTCGAAACAGCTTCGTGCGCCGAGGAAGCGAAGCGCATCGCAGACCCACGATATTTCTTTTTTTTTTTCAACCTTATTGTCAGCAACTGACGGAGTTGTCGATGCATCGCGATGCGCCCTCGACTGCACGAACCGCGAACCGACACGAGGATAACGAGCTCTACGAGAGAGAAATATTTTTTAATTGTCCCTAAATCGATTGTTAGAAACTGAGTAAATAAGATATTTGTCAATAAGCATAAGTATATTAATTTTGTAATTAGTAATTAAATTGATAAAATTCTAAGAACTTGAATTTCAGGGAAATAGAAAATACTCGGAGGAAGAAACGTAGTAACTACAAAATTATAACTATATATAAATTTAGTGTGTAATCTATGTACGTAGTTGAATAAATTAATGTATATATATATATATATAAAATTAAATAATTATTATTTTATAGTTGCTACCACTATCCTTTTCTCTGAGTGAGCAACACTTAATTTTTCAATTAATTTGATATATTTCACATTTTATTTATATTCATAATTATTAAATATATACATTAAAAACTAAAGAACTGCGGAAATAATTCAATAATGAAATACACATAAAAAATTCATATTGCGGATAATTTACGTTCAGAAATTTAATCACAAAAATTTACGTTTGTAGAAACCGAAAATTCAACAAACACGTATAATTCGCGAGTGATAAAATATAATACGTATACCACGGTGCACGCAGTTTTGTCTCCACTCGCAATTTTTCCAACTCCGAACTCGTCCCACGTTTTAATGCACTTATGGGATTTATCCCAGAACACGCAATAAATTCTTCTCTCTGTCTCTCCGCCGCGCCTTTCCGTATCTCTCGCGCGCGTTTATTCCGCGAAGGTATTCCGTTGACATCGGTCGGAGATTTATGCCGAAGCAGCTGATCGCAATTTGGCAAGAAGCGTGCTCCCACGAACGCGTTTGTATACTGAAGCGTGAAAATTTACCGGGATGTGTACGCGCGAAGGCGAACGCGACCAATTAAATTCTCCTGAACGTTTCGCGCATTCGATCGTGTGAACGACTACGACGACATTTAATTACTCGATCAATTAATATTTTATCTCGTACGACTTCCGTCTTACCAACAGAGTAAATGTATTATCTAGTACAGAAGACACATGATTGAATTACAGAAGACAAAATAAAAGAAAAAAGATGGAAAAGACGCGGCTATCTATTCACCTCCAGAACGTGACTCTTTGAGACCCAGCTTCATCAATGTAAGATTAACTTTATAATCTTGAGTATAATCTTGAGTATAATTTATAATGTATCTTTTCCTAATTTTTAAAACTAGAAAAACTAAAAAAACTAAAAAAAAAATTAAAAAAAAAATAAACCGAGATTGAAATTAAAAAGTTATTTTTATCACGTATCTTGTGCATATCGCGTGATAATAATTAAAAGCATGCTAAATAAAAAAATATCAAATTGTTGAATCGTGATATACGAATATTTAAATGCAATCAAAACATGTCTAAACCGAAAATAAAAAATCTGAATAATAAGCATGTGAAGTCTAGCTTTAATAGATTCAGCAATTAACATATTATTTTCTTAACTAAAATGTCGATTGTTCTCTAAATTTCTTGGAGTTAAATCTCACTTCAAGAGAGTTAACTCCAAGAAATTTAGACTGTTATTACTGAAAAAAAAAAAAATGTGCACTCTTAAATAAGAGTAGCAAATTTTCACGTGTGAAATGTTACTCCAAAAAAAAAAAAAATTTTTTTTTAAATAAAAATTTGTCACTTTTATTCAAGTGCACATTTTTCACTCTTTTTCAATAGTAGCAATATTTTTATTCTTTTGGAGAGATTTCACTCTAAGAAATTTAGAGAATACACTTAGATACAAAATCAGCTTGATTTATAAAAGTTGTAAACGAATAATTGATATTTGACTTATAATAATAAATATTTCTAAAGAAAAGTTAATCAATTTTCAAAAATTGAAACGTTAGTTTATTAAAAACCTGTAAAAAAAATTCTTTGAAAATTCCTGGATTTTCCAGATATTTTTATTCAAAATTCTAAGTAAGATTAGAGAATTTTTTAATACAACTTTGAAATAAATTGGAATGCAAGCAACGCAAATAAATTATATTGAAAATATATTAAAAATTAGTAGAAAACAGATTTTACGAGACTATATCTATCATTTTCTACAATTAAAGCCGCGAAATCTATAACACACACAGAGAAGATTTACTATTATATAGTATCAGACTTTTTCGCTAAGTGTTCTACTATCAATCTTTATTTTTTAAATAAAAACTGACAAGTTCACAAAATTATTAAATATAAACAGATGTGTATGCCGTACTTATTACTAATCAATTGTCAACATTTTGTATTATCAAGAAAAAAATGATCAAAGAAACAATGTTAAAAAAAAAATAGAATATAAATTTAAAAGTAAAATTTGCATGAAAATCCCTAATTTTCAAGATTAAAAATATTGCCAAAAAAGTTCAGATCCATTTAATTTATATTAAATTGACTAAACTATTTATTTATATTGACTACAGCATCAGTAAAAATTGTGTTACAGATTTTGAAATAAACTACGAAGGGTTAATATTATACGATTTCATAATAATAATTTTGTAATTTCCTAATAATTCAATTTATCTCGACCATAGCTTCTAACATCACGCAATTTCTGTTTTCAATTTCAATCAAAGCATAAATACAAATATTTCATAAGAGTATAAAGCGAAGTGTAAAGACAGGGCTGTCATGTCTATAATTTCTGACGATGTTAAATGTTAGATTTTTTGCGTCGAAGTATACCAAATCTACCGTTCGTGACTATTATGTATTCCGAAAAAACAGATTGAATTTCGATAAGCTCAGCAATTCGTCGTTTGATGCAAATGCGAATTGCTGTCGCGTGGGCGTACAAATGCATCTCGCTCGCTCGCTCGCCGGCTTCGCTTGCCCATTCGCGGCTTCATAATCGAACGCGCCGATTTTCAAGGATTACCACGTGCCAGCGCTATTCCTTCGCGAGCGAAACGGCCGCACTCGCACGTCACTATTTCCAGGGAGAGTGAAACACCTCGACCGTGTAAAACCGCCGTCGCACACGCGCGAGCGAAATTACGTCGAGCGTGTACGACAATTTTTGCAGCAAGAACAAGCAAAGCTGAGAGCACGATTAACCCTTGGTGCTCCCGAAAACCGGATCGCGCCGGTTTTCGTAGTATTTTTAGAAATAGCTCTGCCAAAGTAGACTTGTTGCCGCAGATAAATATTAGTAAACCATCGATGCAAAGTTTCGATACATCGTACGCAAGATTTAACACCCGAGAGGGTCATTTATCATCAACTGTCATTTATCATCAAACAATAAGCCGTTTATACATTCAGAAAAGAATACGATCGTTATAAAATGAAGATGATCATTACGGAAAGAAAAAAAAGAGAAAAGTATTTGTGACTATAATTGCATGATAAAATATTATGGTAGGAGTCCATTTTTATTGTTACTATTGCTATAATATTAGTAGTAATAATTATTTATGATTCTATATATGCATATATAAAAATATGTGGTTGTTTTCGAAAATGACTATAAATTTTGCCGTCATTTTCGGAACAATATATTTTTTTTAATACATAGATCTATATGTAAATAATTAATTACTAATATTATAACAGTAATAATTATAAAAATAAAGCTTCTAATTAAAATTTTAGAATGCAATTATAATCACAAAAAACTTTTCTCTTAATGTAAGAGTTTGTATTAATGTGATTCTCCAGACTTTTAATTCAGATCATCTTCACTTCATAGAAGATCTCTTTCTCTCCTCTCCTCTCCTCTTTCTCTTCCTTTCAAATCTTAATTATTTATATCAAGAGGTATAAGATGCAATAAAAAATGATATTCGAGATTCTCTCTAAAAAAAAATCCAAATTAATCGCAGGATTTGTCGTTAAAATTTAATGTAATGAGAAAATGAGATAGTCGAAATTCTATAGTAATTTATGAGATTACGCGACAGATAATATAATGACAGGCGATGTGGTCAATTAGACGAAGATCCGAATTAGATGGAGTCATCATTAGGTTCGCCAGTGATATCAGGCAATATAATTGGCCAAACAATCGATCGTCACGTGGCGGATCGAGCCTGTTACTTGGTCTAATTAATTACAACGCGAGTTCGCTTACGTAGAAGATAGCATGTCAAATAAGGCTGTCATGCAAAAATTCACGATAAGAGAATGATGCGGATAAGAGGACGTTCTTGACCAAAAATTAAAAGTAAATGCATTTATTTTAAGACCAAAGTATCAAGCAAATGCATACATAATATTCCGCGTACTATGTAAGTGATGTTTTACATTTTATCACGAAATATTTTCTCTGTATCTCGCAACACACTTGCAAATGACTTCTGTCATCGATTTGTCTTAATAGGTACCAATAATCTGACAGTACAAGTTAGATTCGCGATATATAATTCACTAAAATTGATTTTGTATCATATGAATAAATTCATTATATTCGAAACATGCGAGCAAAAATTATCAATGCAATTATCAAGAAACTCGCTTTGAAAAAGAGTAGGTGTTCCTCTTCATTCATGTATTTTTTATATTTTTCGTATATAGAAACAAATATCTTAACTTCAAACAAATGCGTTGCAATATCTTTAAATTCTCAAATTCATTGCTTCTCGAAGTATTTGCGATTAAATACATAAAAGCAAAAATATTTCATTTAACTCTTTCATGTTTCTACCAATGCAGATTAACTTTAATCTCTATTTTCTCTAATATAGATTAACTTTAATTTCGGTTCAACTTACTCTTCATCTTTTTCTAATTTTAAGAATTAGAAAAAGATGAAGAGTAAATTGAACCAAGATTAAAGTTAACCTGTAGAGGAAATGTGTATTCAATAATGAAGAAAATGAAATGTAAAATATGCGACAACTTATGCAAATTTACTTTCTTTCTTTCAAGTAATGGTCATTAACAAATAATATTTTTTTAATAGTATTATAATTTTAAAATATACTTATTACAAATTTTTAAAAAACTTAAAATAATCAAACAAGAATTTATTTCCTTTTGAAGAATGTTATAAAAATTAATCGACAGCATCTTTACATGATAAGAAATCAAATTTATTTTAATTTAATCATTTTGATTGATATATTAATAGGATTCAAAATATATCTTGAGAATAAAATTTATGATAGATATATGAACTTTGGAAATACTTAAATCAAATTAATTATTATTTGTGCACAGAATACATTTTCCTATATGTAGTGTAATATTTCAGAAGAATTTTGAGATAATAAACATATTTTATATATATATATATATATATATACACAGGGTGTCCCGAAAGTTTTTGCTAATCGCTTTTGTGTAAATAGAGTGGACTAAACTGAGTCGAAAAGTCCATTATGCAATTTTCGCAATAGTTAATAAGATATTGATTACTAAAAATTGTTAAATATTGGTCTTAAATAATTTTTTATTCGAATACTATCAACTTTACAGAAAAACCGCAACAGACAAAAATCATTTATTTTCTTCTCATAGAACTCTAAGAATTTTTTCAGAATTTTTTATCAACTTTTTAATACTGCATTTTCTTATTTTTATCAACATGAGAAAATACGATATTAAAAAATTCTGAAAAAATTCTGAAAAAATTCTCAGAACTTTATGAGAAGAAAATAAATTATTTTTATCTCTTGCAGTTTTTCAATAAAGTTTATAGTATTTGAGTAAAAAATTATTTAAAACTAATATTTGGCAATTTTTAGTAATTAGTATATTTTGTTAACTATTGCGAAAAGTGCAAAATGATAGAGGATTTTTCGACTCAGTTTAGTCGCTCTATCTACACAAAAGCGATTGGTAAAAATTTTCGGGACACCCTATATATTTATATAATAGTACTCTTCTAAAAATGTTATTAATTATCACAGAAACAAAATATTGGTTAAGTATAAAATTACGTAGATTAGGATATTTATATTGCTCTTTAAGACGTAAGTACTACGTCCATCTCTATACTTATTCGTGTTTTAACTTTTTCTGCGCATTACGCTATATAAAAAAAACTTTACAGTTATTATTGTATAATTTAAGAAATCATATTGACTTTGATTTTCCGACCGCAACGTTGCGATAGCTGATCCTGAATTAAAAGACTGAACGATACCTACGGATCGAGTCGGATAGTACTGCTCCGATTAGATACGGTCCTGGTTCATACGATGTCGCGGAGAGGGATTGGCGGGACCAGAGAGGAGTTTCGGGAGAGAAACCGGCGCGATGGTGGCAGCGGTGGCGGCGAAGGTGAAGGGGAACGCGATAGCATGCCACTCTTGAAATCGGCGCGGGTCGCCGGCGTGTTACTATGCTACGGTGCCGCCCTCGACGGTGATCCACGCGAGGATCGACGATCAACACATGCTGATCCCGGCGAAGAGGGTGTTGTCGCGATTTAACGGGTGTTCACCCGGACGTCCACTCGAATCCCGGAAGTATCGATAAGACTCTGGGACATCCTCTCCATAAACAGCAAAGATACTGTTGTTGCGCGATAGACGACGAAAATGATGATGAATATATCTCCCTTAATCGGGTTTAATTAAATTAATGTAATTTAGTTTCCCCTTGACATAGCAACTCCTATCTGACGTTTTTCATTTTTTGTGTTAATGCGAAAAATCTCCTATAGAAAAATTAAAAAAAAAAAGAAATCTTTGTTTTCAGACAAGGAAAGATAGGGAATGTATAATTGTTTATAACGTGACGTTAATTAATGATACAAATTGACGATATAATAGAATCTTTCTAAAACTATAATATATATATACATATATATATATATATATATATATATATGTTATATATGTTATATATATATATATAACATATATATATATATATATATGTTATGTATATTTATTATTGATAAAAATTGTCCTCAATTCATGTCATTGATAAATATTAAAATATCTACTTGTATAATTACTAAGATATGTTAAATACTTAAAAATCATTGCCTTTAAATGTTAAATATAAATATTGCCTCTATTTACTCATGTCCGCGATATCGATTACATGTATTTCGTAATATTTATCGAAGACTATTTTTGGCGCGGAAAAAATATAATCTATCTTGCAAATCTATCGTGTAAATATACCATCAGAATATACGAGTCGTACAAAATATGCAGAATGTCTGACACGAATAAGAAAAACAAAGTTTCAACATTATATCTTATTATACGATTGTAATAGAATAAGTCTTACCTTTGCATTTGACTCCCACTTTCCCGGTGCCCCAGATATAATCTTCACCTGTGGAATAAATTTAAAAATCAATATTTTTATAACAAAATGAAATTTTGTGATTTTTCTAAATCACAATTGTAATTATTTAATATATTAGGTGTTGGAATTAATTCGTAGCGTTTTACAAGTGATGGGAAGTACTTTCATTAATGTATTTTTTAATGCTCATGTGAAATAAATAACATTCTTTCATTAAAAACGCTACGAATTAATTCCAACACTTAATAAATAGATAGTTCGTTCACACATTTAATATGGTAATTGAATAAAAGACGAGAGCAAAAAAATATAATAGACTGATGTCTATTTCTATCATTATAGATTAACTTTAATTTTATCTTAATTTAATTTATTCTTTATCTTTTTCTAATACTTGGAACTAAAAAAATGAAAACTAAGTGAAACCAAGATTAAAGTTAATCTATATTGGTAGATAGGCATGAGAATTATTCATAATGCTTCTACATTAGTATTAACTTGGTTCACATAATGAATAACACAAACCATAATTAATAATGTACTTACAATGTTTACAGAGAATGGGCGTTACAAAGTATACATCTACGAGGACGTGATTGTAGGAGTTGTGTTCCGTGCTCGTGGAATCTGCTACATACGCTGTAACAAGGAAGTAACGAATTAATGAGTGAATTAATCTAATACAATAATCTATGACGCTTGTAACGCTTGATATTATATATACAATGGTGTTATAATATTTACCATACGGCCCATTGCTAAGCGTTACATAAGACGACTCTTCTTCATTGTGAGTGTCGAGATACGGCGACAGGCTTCCTTTCAGCATTAGGACTTCGTCAGTTGTAACCTCCGCGTCTACAAAATCACGCAAATATAAATACATATAACTGACACAAATTATGGAAATAAACAAGCATTTAAAAGAATAAAATTGTCAAATATTGCTCACTTATTTCAAAAGTGATACAACTACAAATTTTTTTTTAAATTATCATAAATGAATTCGTAAACATTATCCTACCATCAAAAAAGTGAATTTAATTTTATGAAATTATTAAAATTGTCATAAATCAAAGAATGATTTAAAAAAAAAATAATTATCAAAATCGTTAAAATTCAAAAGAGATAGATAAGAGTTGTAAAACAAGAATAATAAAATGACATTTAATCGCATTAAAAAAAATTTTTTTGTCAATATGTTTAATCAATAATTTCCTATTAAAAAGTAAGTTTCCTCCTTTTTGGGGAAACTTAATTTTTTGAATTGTATCGCTTTTGAAATAAAGGTGAAGTAAAATATGACATCACAAGTTATTTTATTCCTAGCCAATTAATATAATAAATTTCGTACCAGACACAAAGTCTGCTTGCTTATTTATTGAGTCGCACGAGACGACACCAATTTTTAATCTTCTCGGAAGTAGCGTGATAGTAGACTCGCAAAGAAAATGATCACATCAGCAGATCATCGTCTCCATAGAAAAGCGTATGCGAGTTTACTCGTTTGTCAGTCACACATGGCATGCAGCAAACGTAAACAATCTCATGGAATACAACAATCACAGGACATAATCTTTCTCGATTCTTACGCATCCTCCTCAGAGAGATTCAAAGCATTTCTTTTATCGCTTTACTTGAATCGTATTAGAAGAAGCTTTTATTTAATTCCAAATTATTTGCGGCTATTTGAGCATTATTTAGGAAAGCCGATCTTTGTGTAATATAGTTTATCCTCTTCTTATTGGGCACATACAATTTGATTCTCATATGTTTACTTTTAATTATTAAAAATAATGATTTACTCTCCGTTAAAAAAGCTACTTCTGTATCCTTATACAATGTTATATTCTTTTAAAAATTATCTCTATCGCTGTACATAAATACGTAAGATACGCAGTACGACAATGTTGTCCCAATGACGTTGGTTCATCCAATATGTCAAACTTCTCTGCAGTAAGGTAATATAAACACTGTAACAATTATTCATGCATGACCGTGCAATGCATTATTATCTTTATCATTCTCCTTTGCATTTCTTCCGCGGACATCCACTCTTCGAGTGTAGTTCTTCTTTTATTTCACTATTTCTACGTTTCATATCCAAGATATTGTGACCAGCCTACGAATTGTAGTCTCTGAAATACATAAATAATATAATATTACATTTGAGTCGAACTATTCTTTTCATATTACAATTAACTAATAGTAATTAAAAATTTCTTTTAATTAATTCTGAAATTTGAACAGCTTAAATTTGAAGTATATTTTTCTTTTAAATTAATAAAAGCCTTAATTAAAAAAATATATTATTATACTAAGATAATTTTTACAAGTACCTGAATCAATTTGTACTTCCTCAAATGGAATTGATTTTCTACGTAAATATAAAAATTTTTACCACAGTACCACAGTAGTATAAAGAGAGCAGACTCTCGATTGTCATATTTATTTTGTTTTTAAAAATTGAGAATATATGTATTAATGTTTGCAAAATAATACATAATCATCAGGGTTGGATAAATTAATTTTTTTTTAACTAACAATAAATTAAGTTAAAGTTAGCAACCTTGAAAATTTAGCTTAAGATAAAAGTTAGTGACATTAATTGAATTAAAGGTTGAGTTAATGAAAAAAAGTAATTGAAAAGTTAAATTTATTTTATTTTATGATTTCAAATTAACTTTTTTTTAACTAAATTAAAAAATAAAGTTAAAAAGTGTGTGTGTGTGTGTGTTAACTTTTTTAATTAACAAGGAGATTATGTATTTTACGGATTTTAATCAGTTTTTGCATAATAATTTTGGAGCACCACAAAATAATCCTTGTAAAGTATTAAATTGCACTTCTATATTTTTCAAAAAAATTATGATTTTAGGTCATAATGACGGATTGCTTTCAAACCTCTTTATTCTTTGTTTAAACGTAAATGAAATATTGGAATAATTACAATAAAAAATATATCAGATAATTCGCTCGTATAAATTTCAAACAATAAAATAAGGAGCTTATTCTTTTATTATCATTTTACGGACTAATAAAGGTTTACTGTCAAAGCTCATTTATTGAAATGATCTGGTAGAAGCTCCTTATTTTACTATTTGAAATTTATTAAGCGGATTATCTATATTTTTTATTGTAATTATTTGAAATTATTTGAAATTAGAAAAATATATTTCCGATGAATATATAAATATATAATCCGAGTGTAAGATCTGTATAATGCCAACTATCCAATCCTGATGTTAATTTTTAACAAATCAAATTAAAAGTTAATAGTTGATAAAATATAATTATATAAAGTTAAAAAATTAAAAGTTTAAAATGTAACTAAATGAAGTTAAAATTAATTAACTTTTTAACTCTTTAACTTAATTTTTAACTTTTTAATTTAGCATTACCCAACCTTGATAATCATTTTAACAATCCTAAACAGATTTTATATATTGTAATGTTATATCGAGATGAACGGAACATTTCATTGTTCAATTTTGTATAAGTGATAAAGAAATAAAAATTTCTAATCAAACTGAAAATTTATAAGAACATTGTTTCTATTTAAATGATTATATTTATATTTAAGACTTTGTCTTAAAAAATCTCTATTTTCAGCCTTATGTCAAAGTGATACAGGTAGCTTAAATCGCTCCAAGTAAATGCTTTCTGGAAAGCTATTTGCAAGATTAAGAGATCACTTAAAAATTGATGAACAAGTACATTATTTACAAGAAGAAATATTTATAAGAATTTGGTAAAAAAATCGCTGTTTTTTTTTATATCGAAGAGACTTAGATCGTTTAAACTGCTCCAAGTAAGTATTTTCTAGAAAATTATTTGCAAGATTAAGAGATATTGTACCTATACCAAAAAAAGTCTACTAATCTTTCAGCATCCACGAAAGGTCTATAAAACTTAGAGAAACGAAAGCTTAAATAACAAGCTAATCTTTTATGTATAAGATGTAAAAGTTTTCCACTACAGAATATCACATTTGAAATCCAGAATTCGACGATATGAAATTCTATCGAAATTACGTTCTTCGTTAACACAGAGCAACAATACTGTGGCGCACCAGAGAGTAAAGATATGCCTCAGATAACTGTCATCACAACCGAAGGTATACGTGCACGGTGTGCACGCATGAAATCGCACGTCGAGGTCGGTCGAGACGAGGACGCGAACGGGAGTTCACGTGCCGAGCGTGTGGGCTTCGAGAGGGACGCTTACCTTGCCTGACGTCGCGATTCGTCGAGCGAAAAGTGAAAACGGTAGCGATGAGGGCAAACGGATGTACTACACCATGCCAACGGGACTCCTCGGTGACGAAAAACTTGCGGCGCGGACACCTCGCTTGGAGGGAGAGGGGAGGATGCACGAGGGCGACAGCTACGAAGATGACGACGGCGACGGCGACAACGATGACGATGACGATGACGACGACGCTCAGAATTCCTCCCTCTTCTGCCCTCTTCTCAAGCTACCTTCGTCGATTGCATGTGCCGGGAACTTGCGGACAAGTCGCGTCGGATACCTTGACGGTCGACCACGAGAGGGGTAGAAGGGGAACACAATAATAATATCGTTTGCCGTGTCGCAATACCACGAACGAACACGGTTAGGCCAGCCTAGGCAGCTAAAGTCGCAAGTCGCAACTCGCAACGCTCGACCGGCTCGACTTCAAATCGACTGTGCGCGGTCGATTCGATCGAGAGCGAGTGCGATCGCCCGCGGATTTCAAAATACAATTTTTCAAATATCGGACACATTATCAGTTCAGTGAGCGCTCGCTGTTATTGGTGTATTCTTTTCGATCATCCAATCAGCATTTTAGATCTGAAAGAATACATCAATAGCAGTGAGCGCTCACTCAATTGTTGAATCCACTGAATCACTGATGAGATACTACATATTAAAGACCGTCAAATTGCTTTGAGCAAATTTTCGGCGGTATGAAAAGGGTCCCAAGAACTCGGGTAATTGAAAAACGCATTATCGATAATCGATATAAATTTGCTATTATTAACATAAATATTTGACTAATACATTATTAAATTCATGATTTTGTATTACATAATAATGCTCCATAAATAAATATGCATGTTTGTAAAGCTATGTATATATAATTCTATATATATATATTGCCGAAAAATTACAATTTTTTCTCTGCAGTTATCATCTCTGTTAATAATCAAACTTTGACGATAACATTAAAATCACAATTTTAAAGAAAATTCGAGTTATTAAGTTTTAAATGCATATATACCGATAAATACGTGTACTAAACTAATAAATCATAAAATTAGTACATTATCAGTTTTTTACTCTTAGGACCGGTTGTTCCAGCTTTTGATAAATTTTACCTGTTGGATAAACAGCAAGATTACTCAATCACATGCATGGATTATCACATTTACCTCATAGGTAAAATTTGAATTCCAAAAGATGGATCAATCGGCCCTTAATCACTTCGATATTAACAAGGACGCGAACTTCCGTAAGGATGTCGGTCTTTAATAGTGTGTAAACACTTGACGATAACAGAGAAAAATATCAGGCCGCTCCTCGTCTCGATCCTAGGCCTGTTCTCTTCTTTGATACTTGTTCTGCCACTGAAGTACACAATCCTGATTGTTGGTCTAGTCTATATCTAGTAAATTTCTTACAAATGGCTGTGTTCCAAATTTACTACCAGCACTGAAAATGCTACAGTTTACGTTACGTGCATTATAGATTTTCAGTACTGGCAATCAAATTTGGAACACAGTTGTCTTTTGGTCTGTTCCTATACTAGACTGTTCTAGAATTCTCTTTCTCGCTTTAAACAAATATCAAATTATATATCGTATATCTATCTCACTTTAAGTTCCAAAAGTGTACACTAAGTTCAGCCACAGAAAACAGATCATTTATCTCATCGGTGGCTAAACGCAGCCATTCTATGCGTTCCTAAACTTATTACAGAGATGTTCGAATTTTTATATCTTGGCACAGTCAAGCGGAGTTTGCGAACGCGCAGTCGCATTGACAGATCCCGCTCTCTTTGTCATCAGTCATCACATGGACAAGCTAGTGTACGTTCGCCTTACTCGCACGATTCGTACAACATTCATTTCCTTATATAGCAAAACGGATCACCGGTGAGAGAAACTGCATTATCATGAGCACAATAATTACCCAGGAAGCCTACGACGAAGAGATTAGGGAATTAATAGAGAGTCTCGGCTTGACTGAAGAGGAGGCGATCGAGGATGCTATTAAATGCTACGAAATGAAAGTATGTATTCCTGCTCTTTGTTTACAATATTTGTCAATCAATGAAAAATATATTTTTTGCTCCTTGCGCGTGATTGTGTGATTCATTCGCCTCTCTATACTGGAAATCTCTGACATTAAAAAAAAAAGAGAGAACAAAGTTTCAAATTATAGAATATTTCGAAAAATTGTAACAAATGTTTGTCTAAAAATTAAAGAATTTGTATATAAATATAATATAAATTTATTCTTTAATATATTTATTAGGATATTAATTATATATTTTATATATTTTATATATATATATATATAAAATTTATTTCTATATGTATACACACAAATATATTATTTTGATTATCGAACGTTACGAAAATTTTCGTTTCCATCTCTATTTTATCAAGAATAAAAATAACGAAGTTTAAAATAATTTCAAATGTTATATAACTTTAAATTTTTTATATAAATTTAATTAAAGCATGTATCAGAAAATATATTTTGATAATTAATCGAAAATGTTCTGTTCCTTAATTGTTCGATTAGATGAGTCAGTCTCGAATAAGTCATCAAGAATTTTCATCATTGCCGTTAGAAATAAATACGCAATATTACATGAAATTAAAAAATATTAGGAATATATAAATCAATATCTTAAATATTCGTCATTAACATTAACATTAAATTATTTTATCATTATTTTTTATCGCATATATTAATTTTTATTTTAAAAACTTTATGTTTAATTTAACAATACACTTTTTAATATTAAATTCTCATTTAATATTTTTTAAATTAACAGCTAATAATATTCTTATATCGCAAAATTATAGAGCCTATTTAAAAGATCTACCTGTAGTGCAAAAATAAGATCTGTTACGCGATCCTGCCGCATTTCTTGACGCTTTTAGTTTCGGAGCACTCGTGTCACTATCGTCTATCTTAAGAAATTGATCTGTTTCTTATACCGTAATATATTTGAAGCTGTTCAGAAAAGAAAAAATAATCTCTTCTCTAAAAAATAAAATGAAATAAAATTTATGTTGAAGCACAAAAAAATCATACTTTATTACGAATGAACCACTGCTGAAAGAAAATTCCGTTAAAAATGACATTAATTATTTTAATAGATACAAATATATTTTATATAAATATATTTATAAATGTAATTAAAAATTAAATATTTATGAGAAAAGTCAAAAACCTTCTTGCGTCGAAAAAAACGCTTCATTTCGATCATCGTTACGTTTATAATTCATGGATGGCATTTAATTCGCGCAGGGAATAAACCTGAGCAACATCGTCACAGATTCAGTTCTTGAGGATAAATACAAGCAGATAGTGACGTGCCTGGAACGATTAACATGTACTGTAAACGACAAAAGTTACGAAGGCGTGCTGGAGACATTGCAAAAACTGCGAGACGAGTTGGATAAGGATATCGCACACAGGGTTTTCGCAGGCAAACGCAAATGTTACAATATTCTGATCGATCTCTTGAAAGATTGCAAGAAAAACCACGTGATACTTGAATCCACGCTGGAGACAATCACCTCATTAATGTCCGGTTATCCAGACTTGCTGGACGACGAAGGGATTGCGTTGCAAATAGAGTAAAGATTATTTCATAAAAAATTGATTTGTAAAAAAAGAAAGTGTAGTTGAAGTAGATCCTGATTTTTTATTTTTTTTTATTTTTTTTTTTAATGACTATTAATTCTAAAGTTAATATAAAAGTTAGGAAGAACAAAATTATGATAGAGGAAACTTTTTCATTGGGAATGATAACAAAATTAATACTTTTTAAATTATTATTTGATTGAAAACTGATTTATTTTATTAAATTCGTTTTGAACTTAAAAAAACTTTTTATTTCAATAATTTGGAGAAAACTGGCACAATTTAAAGAGAACTAATTCTTTCAATTATAGGAATATGAATTACAATTTATAGCAAGAAATTAAGATCATCAAAGCTATATTTAATAGGCATCTGTTTCTTGTCTCAAAATAATTTGTTAAATTTTGTTTATCAGGATTTTAGAGGGACATTGCGATACGACAACATTACAATATCTATTGCGTTGGATACGAGAATGCTGTATAAAGCACGAGTTAAATAGGCAAAAGATATTTGACACCAATATCTTTGAAAAACTAAAGAAGATATTGATACGTGTAGATGTAGATGCGCAAGAGATTAAAGATGCATGTTCGGTAATCAGAGCGTTGGTATTGGACGATGATATTAGGCACGAATACGGAAAGGCACACGAACATGCGACTATTATGGCAAAGGGTGCTCTCGACATCATCACGGGATTATTGAAAAGTAAATATTATATTTAAATAGCTTTACAATCAATATGAATTACTTTTGATAATTATTTAGTATGTTACAAACATTTGAATTATTCTTTGAAAGTTAGATAATCATTCTATATTCTTTTATACTCTAATGATTAATTAATACTTGCACTTTATTGCAATATCACTTTGCTATAATATACATTCGTCACAAACAGGATTTAAAAAGGATACGAAAGTCATAGGCGACCTAATGATCACATTGGCCGCATTGGTTGTTCGAAATGAATTCTGTCAGGAAGTAGAAGATGCTGGGGGATTGAAATTCATTTTAGATATAATGACTGAATATCCAGATTCTGAAAAATTGAATTGGCAGGCTTTGAAGTTGCTCAAAGCGCTTGCTGGCAATGATAATGTCAAGTCTCATATCGTTACTTCCGGATGCGGTCCTTTAATCGTATCTGCTATCAGTAGAATGAAAGTAAGTTCATGTGCAACAAAAAATATTTTTTACAATAAAATTCTTTTAAAATTTTTTTTTTATTTACTAAATGAAAAAAGGAGGTATTCTTAATTATTTTAGTGTTGTATCATCGCGGTCTTTAAAATGATACTGTATTAATATTTTAAAGGAAAAAAATTTTTAATACGTATTAAAATTTAATATTTAACAGAGATCGGAGAATGTCGTGACTGCTGGACTGAGTTGCATATCGGCATTATCTTTACGAAGCACTTCGAATTCTGGTGTGTTCTACGATTGCGGCGCAGCCCAAGTAATCGTAGATACTATGAAGGCTTATCCTAATAATGTAAACATCTTAAAGCAAGCCTCTTGGGCGATTAGAAACATGTCGGTGCGAAATAAATCCGAATCTAAGGAATTCTTAATGTACGGTGTTGAAGAAATACTACGAGAAGCAGTACGTTTACATGGTCCTAAATTAGAGGATAACATAAAAGCCGCACTAAGAGATTTAGGTCTGAAGGTAGATTTAAAAGAAAGATGGACAGGAAAAGGCGTTAATTTGAACAATGAACGTTATTAATCATTGGCAGCAACATCGTCAGAGTATAGTATCTAGATTATTTACTATAAATACATTGATCTTGTATCTTGCTTTGACTCACCTCGCTACGTATTAATTAATAAGAATCTTAAGTTAACGTAAATAATAAGATATTTTTGTGCTCAACAGAAAGATGTGGATTTTGTAAAATTGTCGAGTGCTACTTTATGTTATTTAATTCTAAGACATGGCATAAAATTTCAATAGTTTAACTACTGAATTGGAATTAATTTAGAAAAAATGTTTGTAATACAAAAATATAATTTAATAATATTCACAATATTTTCATATCTTTGATGATAAAAAATTTGTCATTATATAGAATAGTGCCTGAAATTTACATATATACACTTTTAACACACTGCCAGAAATTGTATTATACATTTTTACTTGATAAGTGGAGAGCTAAGTATCCATATTTCATACGGCCGTTTTTAATTGATATTTCAAACAAATAAAATACAGATTTAATTTTATTGTTGATACAGATAATTGTATGATTAAACTAAATTATTTCCACATATGTATATCTGTTCCATCCATCCGTCCATCCACTGGCATTACAATCCAAATCGGATCCAGGATATATATATCATTTTCCATATATATCAGTTACAGTTATAAAAAACAAATGTTTATTGTACTTCAAATTTTGGCATAAATAGATAATTACTAATTAATGTGAATAATTAAAGCTGTTATGGTGCAATCGGGTACTTAACTTAAATAATAAAGCTTTGTCGAACTTAAAAAAAGACATAGACTAATGATCGAATAAAATATAATGGTAGTATTTATATAATTAAATATATTGATTGTTTTTTATAATTATTTTATACAGCGAGAAATTTTACACTATTGTAATGAAATATAACAAGGAATAAAAACTGATTAAGCTTTTGAATTATAATTCTTTGGACATAATAATGTTTATAGATTGTTTCTCTTTCTTTTCCCCTATGTCTACTTCTCCCTTGCCAAATTTTACGTGACACAGATAGGCAAAAATTTCGTTTAAACATTATGTAACTCAAGAGCAAATTAATTTGTTTTAGATATGACTATGCTAATCAGTTAATTAAAATAATTTTGCCAATAAACATTAGAAACAACTATCTTTTAATTTATCTTTTAATATAGAATAAATTAAAGATTTGAAAGAAACAGTATTATACAAGAATGCTGTTTTATTTTTTATGTGAAAATTTATGATAATATATTTTTATATATGATATGTGTGTGTGTGTGTGTGTGTGTGTGTGTGTGTGTGTGTGTGTGGGTGTATATTTTTATCCTATATTGTACGTATAATCATTTTATATTTTATATTTAAAAGAAACACTTTTTATTTAATAACTCTTAATATTTAATACTAACATTATATGGTTAATAACATGACAAAAATTTTATTCCCACTTAGTCTGATATTCTGATGATCTTAGACCATACTCCGATATACATTCTCAGTACTGAAAATCTATAATTCACGTTACGTATACTACAGATATTCAATATTGGCAGTGTATATCAGAAGAGGGCTTCTGATAATATCCATCATTTTATTTTTTTGAGCAAAGACAGGTGTTTGCTGACTTTCGCTTTATTAATATCTAACAATCAAAAACGCTCGAATATTAAACATATAATACAATTACATCATGAGAAACACAAATAACTCATACGTAGGCTTATCAGTCTGTCTCTCTCGCAAATCGTTTCGCTATGCATTTTACGTGGAACCACGATCTTATTTTATTCCAAAAGAAACCTGATTTATATATATATATATATACATGTATAATATATAAGTATAGATCATAGCTAAGATTATGAAAAAGAAAATTGCAGAAAATCGGATTGTTAATTCTTTAAAGACAATGCATTGTTAACAAATTAGTGCATAATGATTGATTAAACATGGTAATTAACATCTTGGATCGATATGATTTATCTTGAAAAGAAAAATTTATTTTTGTTTTTATTTTAATTTTGTGTGCTGTTATTTTCTTGTAAATTAAACATTTCAAACAATCGATTTTCTATTTATTACTTTGTGCAAAGGTGAATCTTTTATACAAAGGGACACACATTAGATATTGTTATGAGTAAAAGGAGCTCGATATAATTAGCAATTGGCCAGATAATCGAATTATGAAACTCACTTGAGACAATAAAATAATCACAAATTTAATTCAATTTTAAATTGATCTTATTAATTAATAATTGATTAGTAATTAATCTTTAATCAATTAATATTTTTACAAATTGATGACAAATTTCGGTTACCCAATTAAATTTTATTTGTTTTTTTAAATAATAGATCTTATATTTTTCATTATTAATTACAAACGAAAAAAAGGGAATATAAAAAACTTCTCTATCGAATAATTAATAAATTGCAAACTTCAAACTTCCTATTCGTAAGTAATAGTTTTCGTTTGTAACACCTATCGTATATTGAATAGGTATAGCGATCGTGATTGTCGATAACGATTGTTCTCGATTAAGAATTTTATTATACTATACAAGTGACACGGAAGCAATTTTACAAAGCGTCAGACAATTTTAATTTCTCTTAACAGTTGGCCTATTGTACTGATCATTAACTATTCGTTTTATCGTTCGTTGTACTTCAATCCTGCAGACTACGATTGTATCACAGTCCTTGACGAGATCACACTCGCGATAGTCGAGCTATGCGATTAATACACAAGTTTGCAACGACACAGAGCACATAATTATGGACATTAGTGGACGTTTTATCTCGATAAAGGATCACGATGGTGCCTATTTATGTGTGCACCTTCGTACTTCTTAATGTTAATATAATACAACGCGCTGTCCCAAAAATAAATTATTTCTTTGTATATTGAAAATAATTTCTAAACTCACGTTAAAATATATATGTTGAAAATTACTCATTGTAATTAAGTTTAGTTACGTTTATCCAATCATTATGTGTGCTTTTCAATAAGCAACACAGTGCGACACAGTGATCATATCATCTTTGTTTAATATTGGCAAACAACAAGGATGTAATGTCCATTGTGTCATACTGTGTCATTTGTTGGAAAGCACACTATATCAACCAATCGATAAATTTTGTAACAAATAGTAACAATAGTAATGTTTTCGTAATTTTTTCTTTTGTAGAATTTCTATAAAATTTATGTCTCTAATGTTTATTCCCTAAAATATTATTATTTTACATTTTTATAGGAAACGTATACGAACTCTTACATTCTATAAATGTTTAAGATTTCTTATAGTTTCTCAAATATTTATAGAAAATTTAAGAGAGGACACTTTATAACAGTTTCGCGTTAAATAGTATAAATGCAATTTTCAAATTGTAATTGTACCGCAACCTTCAATCAAAGTAAAATTAATAATTAGTCGGACATAGTTTATATCACAGCCATTGACACTTAACACTCGACAATTACTATCAATTAACAGTCGCGTTTATACATACGCAAGAGCATATTTCTTCAATTTTCGAGTAATCTGTTATTTTAGCGTTATCTATTCAGTAATATCTATAAGAAGTCGTAAAGATTCGTAATAATCATATCGTGCCACCGAGTTTCGATTCGATAAGAAACATCAACACTTACAATTAACATTGAATTTGAGAAAAGTCTTCATAGTTGAAACTGACAAATTTCGCAGTACAATAAAATGATTCGTTAAGGAACTTTTCATAAGATTTCTTTTTTGTAAATATTCAACCAAACTTTACCAACTAATTTCTACAAAAATTTATTTATATTTCATAGTTAAAGAGTTATAATTCAAAAAGAAAAACATATTTTTTTATTCTATTTATATCGGTAAAGTTCGATGTATATTTTAAAAACATTCTCTATATAAAAGATCAAAATTTTATATAATGAAGAAAGGAATGGATATAATGAAAGAAATAAGAACGTAATGCTATAAAATAAAAAAGCTAATTGTAATTTAAAAAAAACAAACATAATATAAATAATATTGTAATACTACATCAGTATATCCATTACACAGCACTAATTTACAAGGTGATTATAAAGACGTGTTTAAAAATAATTCATTTAGTATCACGATTCCGATGTCGATAAAATTAAATGTACGTGACAAAAAAAATAATAATGTAACAAAAGAATTATAATATTTCGTAATAATATATATAAATAATATATAATATAATAATATATATAAATAATTTTTTAGTATCTACTTAAAAATGAATATAAATAACAGTTTCATTCTCAGTTCAAAGTAATATATATCATTTTTCTGTGAAACAAATAAAATGTACAAGGGACGTCAGATGACTCCTAAAAATGTTTCCAAGATAAAGTGCTGTGTAGATATAAAAGAAATTGATACAGTAATAAATTTAAATATAAATATATAATTTGAAAAATAATACAATATGTTAAACAAATTATCAAGAGAAGAAAATAAATTATAAAACGCACTTACCTGACCAAACCAAATGAAACGATGATCAGTTAATAAAAAAAATGAAATAAACAGACGAAAATTTTGTGTAAATAATTTGTAATTACTGTAAAAATAGAAAATCTGAGCGAGACGCACGCTATGCTAAAATACTATTCAATAAAAAGCATCCGAATAATTCCTTGGAGCTGGCAGAAACCAAAGAACTCAATTGACACAGATAATTGATTAATTCAAACAGCTCTGTTCACGGCGCAATTAAATGCGAATTCAAAATCGAATTAATATGTATGATAGCAATATACATAGATCGAAGACTTTAAGACTTTTTTATCTCGACATCGAAGTATACAATAAAACATATATCTAGTTGTCATCTAATGGTTTCATATATTCTACATATACACGCGCATTCAGTTACATTATTGTATATTACCACGCTTATTTGAATAAGCTTACTTGACATATAACGACGTATGCAGAATTGCAAGTTTCAATATTTGTAATGCCTTCGTCAAGACATCAAACATACATTTTCTCACAATTAATTTTAAAATGAATTTCTTATTTCTTATTGTGTATATTGTTGATGAAAATTTTTCTTAAAATTGTACAAAATTTTTCAGAAGAATTTTATATAAATTTCAGAATTTTTCCGAAATCTTGTATAATTTTAATAACTTCTTAAAAAATTTCTCATACTTGTTATGTGAATTGGAACACTTCAGAAATACTGAGGAATCTATATCTTTTCTAGAATTCTTTATATGTATATACATGTAAATTCTGAAATTTTCTCTAAAAGTTCTTATTCTATAATTTCTGTTTAAAAAAACTTACAGTTTGAAAAAGTTCAAAGTATTTTTCAGAAATAAATTTAAAATATTTAAATATTCTTAAAAATATTATATAAGAATTTTTTTTCACAAGGATCAATTATAATTTTTGTGACAACTTATAAAAAAAATAATTAATAAAAACGTATTTAAAAAAAAAATTGATTTAACAAATTTAAACAAATCTTCAACTAAGTTCATCGCTGTGAATTTGTTTCTATGTTAAATGACCATCAATCGAAATTTGACAGAAGATAATTATGTTTCTGTAAGAAAGTATTTTCTCTTAGGAAGCAAGTGACAGAAAACCGATTTTTCATCAAACCGCAAATTTTTCTATCTGTGTAATACAAGTTTACGCACTCATTGTCAGTGTCTTTTACAACGTTGCTTCCGAAACAACCTGAAAATTCTTTTTATTTTCATGGTGCAGAGGCGAGTACAGCAGCCTCGAAAGTTTTCATAATTGTGCAGATTTTACGAATAAACATGCAAAGAATAGCTCATTTTATTTAGGAATGTATAATTGGACATTCACTCAGATTGAAACGCATTTGCAATATACGCACCAAAATAAACATCAAATTAAAAATATATTAAAAATCTCATACCTTTTTGTTATGCGGACCGAGAATTAAATTAACGATAGTATTTAGATATTTTATATTATTTTTTATTTTACTACTATTTCAAAAATAAAAGCAGTAATCTTTTAAATATGTATATTACATATTATTAAATCAAATTAAAAAAAAAATTCTTTTTTTGTGTAATAAGTTGAAAAAAATTTGTTAAATAAAAAAGAATATTTCATCACACTTACAATATACATTTAAAATTAAATGTAACTATTCAACGTTGAATTCAATCAATATATTAAGTAAATAACTTTGAGATACAGCTGTTTAATATTTTGTTAAACTTTATCATCTAACAAGATATTGAATAAAGATAAAAGTACGAGCCTTTCCTATCTCTCTTTCTCGGATGAGTCTCTTGAAATACAATGAGATCGTCGCGTTCTTTCAGTTTAAATACACTAAACGTGTCGTTTAATAAAAAGCATACAAACCTTGAGATCGCGTTAATGCACATAAAAGGGTCAAAGTCGAAGATGTATAATATTTGAATAGGCACCGTTACCAAATCGATAAAATTATGGATCTGCATCTGTCTGCAACGATAACACAGATATCGAATGTGATGTAAACGACCTATGTATGTGCTGTATTAGCTATACAAATGAACGCATGTATGTACCATATTTTAACATTATATTATATATTTATTGCACACAAAACCCTGACAAATTTCTTCATGGTGATTCTCGGGAAAATCAAGAGAAAGTCGAGAAGCCTTTCTCGCAGAGAAATATCTTTAATCCGCATAAATAAAAGCGTATTTTAATTTTGTATGTCATGTCTTCCCTTCCTGCAATTTTATTATTTTATTTATCATTCGATTCGTTAATTTTATCTGAAGCTGTTTTTTTTCAAAAAATTTATCCAATATTCATAGTCAAACTATCAAGAAGGACCAAACGTTCTCGTTATGAACATTTATAAGAAGAAAAAGGAAAAGAATTCTGCCGCTCCGGAGAATTATGTTACATTCGGCAGAAAAAAGCACGACTAAGACACGTATGATTCGATGTCGCGTCACGTAATATAAATAAAATTACATATATATACGTGGTCATCTCTCTTTGTAGCAGTCTTACACTCGGCATAATTTGCCCTTTCCGAGCTAATATTTATATTTTATTCAACGTTTATGCTTATCAACCGTTCATTCGCAAAATCGCGGGCGAGCACAAAGTTGCTATCCCCAGTTACTGATGGCATTGGCAGCATGAATGCTTATAATATTTGATTCGGCACAGGCCATTCTTTACTACTAAAACGCAATTCGGATACTTGTCTACGCACTCGGACGACTCGTGCACCTCTGAAACATAATGTTAAAATATATCTATCAAGTACACATCGGATCCTATAATTATTAAATGGCAATATCTCATAATTATCGAGTTAATAATTTTTCGGAAAATCGCTAAAAAAAAAGCTATAAAAAATAAGAGTAAATTTGTTTTCTTTACTTTTTGGCGGTTTGTTCGCTAGTGGTACTTCTTTCTTGCACGGCTCCACGTTACATTGTTGTTCCGCGCTTGGTTTACTAATTTTCGAGCAATTAGTGCTGCTGATACCTTCGACGGTGCACCGTACAAGTCGATTTTGAATTCCAGCCCCGCAGGTTGCGGAACACTAAAATAGAGACATAAAAATTATATCAGACATATAGATTCAAAATTCCTGATAAAAATTTTAGTTTATATATTCGCGATACTTTACTGTCGACCAATTTGAAGTGAACCATTCCGGAAGACACGCAGACATTCTACAGACTTGTTCAGTCGTTGGTTTGGGATCGCTGCAATTTTGTGCAGATACTACAATAAATTCATCATTCATTCTAGTTATACAAGCGACATCTCGATACTGCACGCCAATGCCACACGAAACAGAACACTAAAAAAGAAGTTAAAAGATTTTTAAAAAAAAGTTATATATGTATAAGAAATTATATATCGTCATTGAGTATAAAAAAAATTGCATCGTACAATAATTAGAAAAAAAAACAAACAGAGAGGATATTTTATTAAATGTCTATTTTGTTCTCGAATTGACCGCAAGAATTGCAATTAAAATAAACAATTTTGGTAATTAGAAGTTGTAATTTTTGTACACCCCAATTTTATTTTCAATTAACAAAAAACTATAATATTAATTTGAAATTCGAAAATATATAATGTCTTAAAATTAAAATTAGATTTATAAAGAATTAATATCATCTATATCAAAATTATGTCGGCAATTTTGACTTTACACATTGCCACGAGCCGTTTTATTTTCTGAGTCGTGCTTGTACTAACGGAAGTCCATGGACTAGCAAACCACTTGGCTCGGTTGCAGGTCATCCCTTGTCCGAAACAATGCATCTCCGTGTCCGGCCTCTCTTTGGGATTGCAGAATAACTCGCTACCATCAGCGCATGCCACTCGTCTGACCCTCACACCGTTTCCACATTCTGTGGAGCACTATAACAATGACAAATGCTGTTTATCTTGAAGTCGAGAAAGTTAAATTCAACGATGTTTGAAATCCTTTCTTTTATAAATCGTCACAAAGAAATAATTTTACATATTTAATTATTGAATAAATGCACGGACACAAAATGAACATATGAGGATTCATAATTTTTAAATGGATATTTTTTCACGTTTGCCTATTTTCAATGGAATTATCTTATACTATGTGTTATACCTTTGAAGACCATTCTGAATACAGCCAGGGCGCATGATGTCCCGTGTCTGTCGCATCATTACAAACCGCTATCTCGCACGCTTTTTGAGATTCTGGTTTATTGGCTAACGAACAAGACTGTCCGGACGTTATACAAGTCACCGTTCGATTTCGAGTTCCATGACCGCACGTCGCTGAACACTGGAATGCACAATAAAAACGTAATAGGCGGAATATATTTTTCAATCACAATTAATTTTAGCAGCAGAACAAAAAGTCCCATTCACTTACTGCATACACTGATCGAAAAGTTATAAGAAACATGAAATATCCTCTACTGAAAAAAATCACGTCATACAGTTACATGATGAAATTATGTAATTAAAATATGTAAATCACATAACGGATTGTTCTAAATCAGTACGTGATTTAATTTACGTACGTTTTTTTTAATTACGTAATTTGAAAAGTCATATGATGATATATTCTTTTTTCTTCTATTGCTATCATTCAATTCTTTAAAATTCGATAATTATAAAATCACATATGAAAATTATTTCTAAAATGTGATTTTTCAAAATTACGTGAGTTTTAAAAATCACGTACTGATTTGAATACAATTCGTTACATGATTTACATGATTTCATCATGTAACATGATTGTGACATGATTTTTTTCAGTACGATCTTAGAATAATTAATCGAAATTCGTATATTTTTCGTGCGTGGCAAATTCAGTTTCCTGTCGATTATTCTTAAATATAATTCTTGTTCATTTACATTCTTTTCACCAATTTTTTATTATTATTTCTATTAATTATTCTGTTTATTGAGACACGAACAGTTCTAATGCGAAACAGTTCTAATGCAAACTGATGATAAAAAATAATACTGGCGAGATGTATATGTTAGAATGTTTCCTATGCCAGCTGATTTCTCACTTCGGATTTCCAACGATTTCCTGTCCTACTTCCTAAACTGCTGAAAGTAGCTGTTTAATAATGAAGGCAATAGAATAATGACTCACCGGACCCCAAGCGCCCACGTCCCACCTAGGCGCTTCGTGTTGCGATGGCATGTGCCTCAATTCTGGGCTCACGTTAGGACACGCCGGCCGACTGCAAGTTTCCGTGGTGCTCAGATCTGGCGGTTGCATGCACGCACCAGCAGCAACGCGCATTGTTAATCTCGCGTTCAACTCCTGGATGCACTCGAGTTTTCGCGTCCTGATGCCGATCCCGCAGGTGACCGAGCACTCGCTCCACGGCTCGGCTCGCCACCTGACAACATTTCCGGCTCTTCGAACACGAGATCAAGCTTATCTGCGTAAATCGCAGATTGTCTGGGCACAGGGAGTTCATCGCATTTTTATTCAGTTATTTCTTGAAAATCGATCTTTGCCTCAGCAAAAATATCAGTAAACTCTAAATCTTTTAACAATTTAATTTAATACGGAAAGAATTTGCTGAATATCTAAAAATTTAGATAAATGCAGATTTGAAAATAATTGTGTTCAACTATAAAAATAATTATGTAAAAAATTCAAGTATGAGTAATGTTGTAGAAAGCTTCAATATTCTAGCTTAAGCGTCCTACATAATTATTTTGATAATCCAAATAAATTATTTTCATCTGTATCTAGCTAAATTTTTAGATACTTTAGTAAAATTTTTTTTTTCATATATGTGAAACGAATTTGAATATATCGAAGAATCTAGCTGGTAGGAAATGCGATGATCGTATGACAATTACCAAAAGATTGGAGAATCATAATAGAAGAGAGATTTATTGAAGTAGGTACCTAGCGGCGCAAGGATGATCGTTGCATCGCAGCGGAGGAGGATGTTTTGGTTTTTCCACGTTGTGACAACGTTTGTCGTTGACGAGTGTCTGATTGCTCTCGCGAATGCATTTTAGGATCGTTGTTCGTACGCCTGCAAGTTACAGCGAGTTATAAGAAGTGATTTAACATGTCTTGAATCTTTGTTATAATTAATTCAATTAATTCAAAGTCTGATTTTCTTCAGCGAGAAATTGGCTTGACGCCAATTCTTTAAAAAATTTTTTTAACATTGGTTGAAACGTATCGTTGTATAACGTTGAAATTTCATTAAAATAATATCTACTCGAAATGGAACGAGAAGGAAAATTTTGTCTGCGGCTTAGGTGCAAAACAATAATTCATTTTCCGTCTTTTATAACTTAGACAGCGTTAACGTATTAATAATTTTATTGAGGAAAATTTCATTTCAAGTTAGTTTAAGAGACTAGGAATAAAACGAAGTGCGACACTTTGCGATCGGGACATTACATTTTGTATTAAGTATGATCGACGTGACCGTCACGTTCCTTTTCGTATTTGTCACTTTCCGCCCGTATCGCGTCAATTTAAATTAGAATATTCCAGTTCAAATGTCCAGAAAGTCAGTGACAATTTCCGGTTGGTATTTCAAAAGTATCGCACTGTATATATCTTTGCAGTCGTCCGCAATTATGTCTCAATTATACTCTTACTTAACTTCAATTATCTATTATGTTTACTTAATTCAATTTAAAACAATAAAAATGCGATCCAAAATTTCTTTCTTAGACAAAATTTTTTTTAATGTTCTAAATACACGAAAAGATTAAAAATATCTTACGTAAAATTTTTAATCGTCGTGCTAGAATGTGTTTAATTATATCGAAATAAAACATATCTCAAGCTACTTCCCACGCAATGCTTCGGTGATATTTAGACAAAGTCGTTTTCCTAATAATTTTTAATTATCCAGACACTTTTTCTGTAATGGTTCGTTTAATCAGTATCTCGCGACAGATTTACAATAATTCGAAATTGTATAGCCTTTTTATATCGACATTATCGTTCGACATTTTACGTTTAATTATTACGTAATTCCAAATTATATTTCATAATATCCATATTTTATTAGTTGATGAGTTTATCCCTCAAGAAATAATTAAGCGTATTGTAAATAAATACGTTTCTATAGTATGAGATATGCTTATTTATCGAAATACGGTGGTTGTTAATTTTATCGGCAAGCTTTAAACTATGGCAATCGATTAGACTGTTTCGTTGTATAATCACAAATATTTAATCGTACGCAATTTAGAGAGTATCTTGCGTATATTAGTAATATTTATTCGTTAATATTCTTTATTTTTCGAACATCGCGATATTATATTTCCTAAAATATACGAGAGATACGCGAAAATGTATTACTAGCAATATTGAAAATTAATGCAAACTCATCGATCTCAACATTATTACACAGAAATTATAACACTGTGCATTCCAAAAGTTAAACAACATGTATTGAAACATTTATCATTCGCAATCAAATGCAATTAACTCACGTTTCGATATTGGATATTAAAATCTCGAGAGAAATATTTCACTGAAAGTACATTATTTTCCAAATACATTGTGCTAAGTCAATATTTAAATTATTTTGCTATATAAACATACGACATTATAAAATTTTAAAATATCATTTTTTAGATTTATAATTATTGTATTTAGTATTTGTTGCAAAGTAAAAAATTATTTTATCTCGCTATACTGCAGAGAAATAAATTTTATTTAAAATCATCAAAATCTTTCAAAAATTGTCTTCGTAATACAATATATAAACTACAAAAGAAACATATTGTCAAATTATACTGAAAAAATTATATAATATTATTCTTAATAATTTTAATTTTACTGAGAAATAATCGCTAGTAAAATATTTCCAATTTTACATGGAAAGAACAATTTTGCTAAAGTATCTAAAAATTTAGTTAAATACGAATAATTTTGTTAGATCATCAAAATAATTGTGTAGGACGCTCAAGCTAATTGCTAGAATATTTTTGCAGCATTGCTTGAGTCTACGTAACTATTTTGATAATTCTATATAATTATTTTGACACTCCAACAATATTATTTTCAAACCTGTATCTAACTAAATTTTTAGATACTTCAGCATACTTCCTTTCTGTGCAGTTAGATGCAACACCTCAGTACGAGTATCATATGATATTATGACACATGATTAATTATCAAGGCACCATCTTCTTACCTCCTCCGCATTCCTTCGAGCAGGGAGAGAGGCCGACTATTTTCCAAGTGAACTTCCTCCTCTTCCTCCTTCTCATCGCCTTTGACTTTGGCTGATCGCCCGCCATCACCGTAGTCGGTGGATGCTTCATCTCTTCCTTCCGTCCGCCGTCGTGCGCACGCGGCGGATCGCGATCGCGACGCGTTGGAGATAAATCGCTTCGCCGATCCGATCTGGAAGACAGAGAGCAACGAGTTGTACGAACGAAGACAAATCGCGCGACTCGACTCCGAGAGATTCTCATACGCGAACGCGTAGATTCCTGCCATATAAAGGAGAAAGTCCATTGGTGGAATATCCGAATTATTGATGAGCGAGTGCCGTATAAGAAACTCACTCCGTGATATATTTCAGAAGTGTCACACCGATCGAACAGTAAAGATAAAAGTGAAAATTAAAGATTAAAGATTGGAGAAACATATAAAAACGTATGTAAAAACATTCGAGATAATTAAACCCCGGTGGAAAAGAATTTACACGTACGCAATCTATAATTTTAACGTGTTAATGGAAGAAAAATAACTTTGAAAACTACGTTCTCGATACTTTTAAAATATAATGTTGTTTCAAAAGTTTTAATAAGAGTGTATTTACGTTCTTGTAATGGGTACTCGCACGGTCACGTGAGTATCTGGACTAGGTATCTCGTTGCCTCGATCGTTTGCTCCTACGAAGAGGAATAAAACATGTTTATGGACTATAATCGATGATTTTTTTATTGTAGATAATTTATTGGCAATGGAGCAATTACCTGCGACAAGCAGCGGCGGTGCAATCACCGCTTTACCGTCCGGCACTTCCTTCATAGGTAGCATGTACTTGTACAGTACGCCTGGATTTAATTCCACGGATAAAATCTACGGTAATGCGCGAACAATGATATTAGCAGTAAGACTGGATTCAATTAAATGGGTAGATTAGAATGCATTTATAAAGATCGCGCGCGCGATAAAAAATACATTATAATAATACCAACAAATTTTCATCAACATTTTGTTTCTCAATAAGTAATAGGTGTTTCTTATAAGAGTTTTTTAAACTAAAAAAGGATATGCTTTTCAAAAAATTCCATCTCCCTTCAGTTTTTAGAAACTCCGCTGTAAATTTCTTATATAATAACGCAAATTCGTAATATATATGTAATACATAGCTATAAAAAAGTAAAATGTTTATTTACATTATATAAAAATAAATATAATAATATAAAGCTAAAATTTATTATGATATAATTTATTATGATACATAATAAAATTTATTATGAAGTAAAAGAAAAAGTTGTAAATTGTTTAAATTTGTAAAATAATGTTTTTTTAAAATAAAGTCCTTGATCTCTCAAAATCTGCGGATAATAGTATTTTTTTAATTTTACGTTCTTACATTCAGCAGGTAAAAATACATCAAAATCACCATTCGGATAATGAGAAACAGAAATCAGTGTAATTAATATTTGGAAAAAATGTTTTACCTTCAAATTATGTGTAATTTGACAGTGCTACGTAAGAGATAAAGCGAAGCAAAATTAGAGAGATAAGAAGTATCCGTGAGTAAAGGTCGTTCGTAAATTGTAACTCGAACTATCAGAATAATTAAAGAAAATCTGCTTCTGATGCGATTAACGAAAAGTGACGATAACGCGGATAGTACCTCTAAATGCAGAGACTCGTTCAACGGTCCAGTCGCTAAGATACACTCCATACGGTTCCTATCGCCCCTCTGGTATGTTAATGTCGTACCAGCCGCTTTATAAGTACCACTGGGACTGTAAGACCACGGTCCGTTTAGGATGTAACTGCCATTACTGTCTCTCAACGCTGCGAGTAGATCGATCGTTTGTTAATCAGCATACCGTTGCGTATTGCCGCGTAAAAACGCCGCTTAATTATTCGTCTCTATGTGCTTTTACTAAATTACTAGCGCTCTAAATTGCTTGTTCTAAATTAATTTTATACATTATCAGAAATGACAAAATGTCTGCGGTAATTCACGTTCATTGACTATTCATTAGTTTTCTGATGACACGATTTTTTAAAAATAGGTTCTAATTAAACGCTGTACATCAAACAATTAAAATATTCATTACTTAATACTAATTTACAGAACTTTGTTTTATTTTGTTTTATTTTGTTTTATTTTGTTTTGGCGAATCATCAAGCTACCTAGAAAATTACTGCTGAATCGGAGCTCGGAAATGTTAAGCGACATGGCACCCTTCGGAATCGTGGTCACCTGCTGATGACCCTTAGACAGAATCGGCTCCATGAAGATGCCTTCAAACAACCTGCACCCTCTGCCCTGGCCACCGCACACGCCGCAGGCGTCCATCGTCGCACCGGAGCCCACCACCCCGTCGCATCCTATAAGCTGAATGGCAAATATGAGAATATTCGGCACTATTGCGTTTATTTAATGCACAGAGGAGATTCACTCGGGACTCTCCCCAATTTGATCAAGCCTTCTATTTTTGAAAACTACATTTCTCACAATATTTTTTTCCTTAGATAGATTTATTATTATGTTTAGGATTATTACAGTTAGACCAAGTCTTTTTTAATTTTTGTTCAATTAAAATTTCTTTCCATGTACATTAAGAGGAAAATTTTTCATCTCGTTATTAAAAATCTTTTTTCGAAAAGGTGCTACTGGAATCTCGATGAAATCGAGTAATCCCAACGTTATTGATTGATAAATGCATCTGACTGAATTGCACCGGACGTTCGAATGAATGACATGAGAAAGGAACGAGAGAAGATCGTCGCGCGCGGCAGAGCCCAAAGCACGGATCAATAGCGATCTTATCGATCGATCGTATCGTATCCCGTCGGCCTGGTGTCGATCATTAATTTCCGGCATCGTTCTCTCGCCTAACGCTCACGCTATTCATACCTTGCATTGTCCAGCGACGCAGAGCCATCGTTCACCATTGCGTTCCGTCGAAATCCCGCCGGCGCCGCCGCGTCCGCGAAGATTCGGAGCATCGCAGGGCGTGCCGTCTATTACTGCCGGTTCAAGCGTTGCGTAAAAACGCTCGCCGACTGCACGGCAATTGAGCGCGCAGGAGTTCGGCGCTGGGGAACAACAGTAGTCACGATTAGGCCAGGCGGAAGTTAGGTCACCAGGCCTGGTCGTTAGCTACGTCATCGTTATATCGGTCGAACACCGATCGAGCGACGTCACTCGCTCGTTTGAGACAAACGATCGCAAGACCCTTCTTTGTTACTTCGTAAAAGTCGTATGTTTCGCTAGTGGCGAAAAAGAATCCCGCCAGAGAAATTTAATGCACACCATAAAATTGAATATTGTTGAATATTATAATTGATAATTGATTAATAATTGCGTCGACCCTGACTAATAATTTGAGAGTTTAATTTTCAATAATGATAAGAGGATCGATTTAACCCTTTGAGGATGAAAATTTTCTAACAAAAAGAAACTAAAGAGGATTTTGTTTCTAAGAGTTTATGGAGTATTGCCGAATTCGATTCTGGTCCTAGAATTCCAAAATTAAAAAAAATTTCAGAAAAAAATATTGGGTCATCTAAAAAATATCCGCGGTTTTTTGTCACTTGTTGACCATCAACACCATCTAGTGACAAAAAACCGCGGATACTTTTTAGATGACCTAATATATATATATATATACAGGGTGGGCCATCTATTGGTACGTTTTTGAATTTCGTCGTATGGCAACACCGAACGAGCTACAGACCCGAAATTTTGACAGTTTATTAGTCATACCGTCCGCGGCACGAAACAACATGTTTTCTCTTGAAGAGCGTTTTGAAATTTTAAAAACTTATTTTCAAAGTCAGTGCTGTGTCGCCGAAACTGTACGAATTTTGAAAAGAAATATGGGTCGTGATAGAGCACCCACCGAAGGAGCTATACGCAAATTGGTGAGGAAAGTTCGTGAGAAAGGGATGTTAGTGGATGACATTATATTACGACTGTTTTGAGTGAAATTGGCGCCGAGGTAGTCCAAAATGTCATTAATAATTGGGGTGACCGAATGGCATACTGTAAGGCCAGTAGAGGGAGCCACATGAACGAAATCGTTTTTCATTCTTGACGCGGATACTTTTAGCTTCACAACAAAAAAAAAATTAATAAAAAATATCAATGTATGCTCATTTGATCGCATTTTTAAAAACGTACCAATAGATGGCCCACCCTGTATATATTATTGTGAAACTCTCTCGATGTTAGGAGATTCTTGGTAACGTTGAGTTTAAATACAGTTTGAAAATGTCAAATTTCAAATAGGTAGCAGGAAATGGAGGAAGTATCCACACAGGCATCCGTGCATCTCCACATATCCATCGACTCACCATCTACGAAGGGCATCCAGACATAACTGCGGCCCTTGTAGTTCCTTCCGTTGTACTTAGAGCACTGCTCCGCTTCCTGCACAAACGCGTAATGGATTAATTAAACTTACGGTAATTGAGGATCGATCGAGAGAAGAGAACGGAGTTACCATCGAGAAATAGACGCGGTTCTTCCAGGGAGGGAAAAACCGACAGGATCGATCGCGTTGCTTTTTACAGCACGTCGCGCTTTTCCCAAAGCGCTGCGAATAAATAAAGGTAAAATTATTTGCGGCCTCTGGCAGAAAAAAAAGCTCGCATTCCGAGCTGCCGCGTGCGCCGAGAGGAAGTCCGTATATTCGTGCAAACACGCGAATGCCGGCACGTGTGGTGCTGGTGCGCTATACGTGCGCGGTCGCGTTGCAATTTCCGGGTAGACTATTAATTGCCGGCGAACGAAACGGTGGTTACTTTGCCCGGGCATGTTTGCGAATCGCGAATGCGGCTCGGAAATGTAGTCCCCTGGTATCGAGCTCGAAGATAAATATGCCCGCACAAGGCGCCGTTTTTCTCCCCGGGTAATAACGGATAACGAAGCCGCATCTTTTAGGTAACATCAAGCCAATTTCGCTCTATATCGCGATTTTAATTTCGAAGCAATTTTAAGAGTTAAAACTTTCACGTTAAAATTCTTACTCTATGCTAAAAAAAAAAAAATTTTACGCTAAAAAATTCTTACTTCACTTACTTTACTTAATTGTACTGCCTGTGGCGAAAAAAAAAACGTTTCTTCTCTTCAAACTGATAGCGGAACATTCAAAGTACGAATACTTGTGGGTCAAGAACACCCAGTACGTCAACAGGCACTGATCGTGGCCGAGATGTAAACAGATCTTATCGCACGGTCTTTACTACCATCAAGAGCTAATCAACACCAACGAGCCCTTTCTCCCTTCCCCTTCTTTCTCGATACCGGTCAAAGCCATCCATTACACGGCGGTCTTTAGTCTCATAGGTGGTGATTATTCTTATGAATTTTAAACAACGCCACGTGCATACACATACACATAGTACGTTGCAGAACCGGGGATATAAATCGTCGTCGTGCGCATCCTTAATTGGCCCGCGCGATGATTTGTTCGAGACTCGTGACGCATCGTCGAGAGGAAAATCTTGAGGAACGTGCCTTGCAGCGTGCACGAGTCTAGGTGGATATAGACATATTCGCTGATCTATGCGACATCATGGAAATAGTAACACACGCACGAGCGAGTATGCGAATTTTATGCGAATAATCAGCGAGCTGATGCGCGACTAATTGTCGGTTCAAGGCCTCGACAATAAACCGCCCTGGAAATAAGGCAGCCTTATTTGTAAGAGTCTTCTTTCTTGAAATTCTAGGGATCTCTTCGCAGAGAATTTTCGATGTTGCAGATTCTCTCTTCGTGAAATTTACGCTTACGTCGGATACTGACAGACTGACGAAACGAGCGATCGACGAAAACGAGCTTAGTAAGCGAGATTCTATCCATGAGCAAATTTTACATTGTAGAGGCAATTCGAAAGACATCGTTCGAATCTGTATCTTCGAAATGATTTTTTGCATCCAATAGAATTAAGATATCATTTTTTGACAAATTTAAGATTCTCCAGAAGCTTCAATAATATATAATAATTGCTGGAATCTGTATGTTTAAAATAATTTTTTAAATATACGAAAAAATAAAATTAATATTAAGTTAAGCACTTTGTGCCATTTTTCAACAAATTTAAATAAGATTCTGCAGAAATTCCTCTTTAATTGCTCAAATATGTATCTTAATAAAAAAACAATATAAAATAAAAGGCTCAATTGAAATAAAAATCAAAATAATAATAATAATAATAATTCGAGCCAAGTTGGATCAATACTAAAATTTATTTAACAAACATTTTAAACAATCAAATTCTAAGATTCTTTAGAAATGCCAGTACAACTGTTTGAATTTATCTGCGGAATAATTTTTTATACGAACACGACAGAGTTAAGTAGAGTTAAACGCTCTATGCATTACCATTTTTCATCAAATTCAAGAACTTGATTTTCCAAGAGAGTTCCTCTATAATTCTTGTCGATAAACGTGCTGAAGGTCTTGTGCGCCGGCTTACCTGCGTATTGCACGTGTGGTAGCGTTTGTATGTGCCGATACAAATGGGTCTGGAGCTGTTCGTACCGTTCTCCGAGATAATACTTCGCCTCCTCAAAAGTCTCCTGGAACGAATCGCTTGCATTAGCTCACCCATTGACTCGTGCGAGTAGCGCGCGATGCATCTCGATTTTTAGCGTCGAGTGCATAAGCGCATTTTTAAGAAATGCATAGCACTATGCAACCTCAAGATCAAAAGAGAAAAACAGAGAGAATATACGCGATAAGAAAACGTTTATGAGTGTTATTTAATCATTGTTGCTATGCTGAAGGAGATAATTACACTTGTTATTAAATGGAGGATAATCACTCCACACATTACATTTTTTATTTCACGTAAAATTAAATAAGATCATGATTTAAGAATTTAAATTTACATTTTCTCTTTGATGCACTCTATTTAAATGCCACTTTATCTAAAAATTTTATGTAGTTTATATGATTGAATATTAACATTTCAATTCAATGTGATTAAGACGGAGCAATGAATATGATTCGAATAAATCTCTTAATTGTTTATGTTAAGTTAGTCATTAATCAGAACTCTTGTGTAACTATCGTCAAGGATAAATTAAATTCAAGTCATCAGGCGATCTTTAACCGCGAGATACTGACTACTTTGTATTTACTCGTATAGTGAACTCGTCGCGATATATTCATATTGCGAGTCACGTAACGGCTCGCAGTAGCGTTAGAAAGGTGTAAATGTCAGTGGCGATAACAACACGTTTCTGCCCCCGGGAGAAGCTCGCAGAAGTCGTCGGCCTGCCGGTGTATAATCTTCTTACGCTACTGATCCGTAATTTGCACGCTGCTTTATAGCTAGCCAAGCAGGACATACAGGGTGTACGGAACTTATATGTTAAAGTCTCTCTTTCTTGAAGGAATTTCTGAATTATTCATGTTTCTCTGGAATTTTATATATTCTTTTATTATTCAAATAAAAAATATATTATAATCTCTGAATGAGAATCTTCTCCATTTTCGACAGAATTCGTTCGTAGATAAATTTTCAAAAAGGAAACGCACAGTGAAAACATATTTAAATAATAAACAACTGGCGGCTATTCTCTTTTTCTCTCTCTTTCTTTCCTATGCACGTATCGAATAAACATTTGTACAGATATCACAATGTGTGCAATTTCAAGTTTTAAAAAATGCAATAAAAAGTTTAATCAAAGCTCTTTCGTGCACTTTATTTTTGTAATATAAATGACAGCAATGTTTATGAAAGCAGTGCATAAATTTTGTACAAAGGAAAAAATGTATTCCATTTATTCAAAGAAAAAAAATTACGTTTCATAATATCACATGTAATCTTTTCTACATGTATATGCATTCATGAATATCAAACAGAATTTGTGAAATTTTACTTTGGTTCTAAACGTCCAAATATTTTAAAAAAGTTTTATATTGAAGACTTTCAATATGGATAAATAAACAACATAAAAGTATTGCGCATTATCGCATTAGAAACTGCGGAATAATCTATTCAATCTAAAAACTATGCTTATCCATCTAGCTAATACATGTTACACGCTGATGAAGAAAAAGAGTTAAACGAGTTATCTCTATAATAAGATATCGATGAATCTGAGCATTTTGTATGTTCCTTACGGATATGAAGGAATCGAAGATAAGCGGTGGTCGATCAATCGACAGATTGAGAGGAGTAGGAGTAGTATATTCGATACGAAGTCCAAAGTTCCACGCGGTTATGCGAAATGCAACGCGATTCGTCTAGCGAGCGTTTATGATCCAAATTGCGCGAGACCCTAACGGTACCATAAGGCATGTGATTATTGTTAGGATCAACTGCGCAAGGTGCTTTGCATTCTCGCGATGAAACCGTGACGCCCGATGATTACCGATCCCAGTCGTGACCTCCCATGGAAGATCGTGCCCTCCGTGAGGACAAAGGTGATGCGAGGTGTGGAAATCATTAATCGAGCGTGAAGATATTTGGATGGTAATGTGGTCATACAGTGTTTGATTTTCATGCTTAATGAGCTCTTGTCGCGCTTTGTTTTGCGCTTTTATTTTTGTAAAGATATTAGTGAAAGAAAACCGAATAAAACTTTCAATATATCCTAGAACGTATGTTTGTCTTATTATTTATAACGCATTATTTATAATGTTATATAAAATATTTAAATATATATAAAATACTATTTTAAAATATTTTACATGTTTATTAAGAATTTTAAGCACGACCGTATATGTGAATAAACGATAAAATCAAATACGATAAAGAAAGCCAAGATCGATCAAATTTTAGATGTTACAAATAATATATTATATATTCTTTTATTGAATCAATTTATTCCAGATATAATTGCGAACTGATAACGTTCGTTATCCGAAGTAATATTTTTCGCAATAAATTTCTTACTTTCTTTCTTCCTAATTTAATTTAGGGGAGATTATTAACGTTTCAAATTACTTTTAATTTAATAAAAGAATATATAATATATTCTTTGTAACATCCAAAATTTGACCAATCTTGGCTTTCTTTATCGTATTTGATTCTACATGTTATTTTAAAATATTTTAATATTTTAATCTTTTATTATTTTAAAATAGCATTATATATAGCATCACATAATGCCAAGAATTTCCGGTCAATATATAATTTTAATTTAATTTTTGTATTTTCAATTTGTTTTTTAATTTATATTATTAAAAGTTAATAAAATTCTTACTATACGCAATTTTTAAATACTGGAGTATATTAAGTACGAAATTAATACTTATATACTAGGTATTTATTTGTAATATTTTTGTATCTGAGCAATACAACAAAATTATTTATTAGCCGGAAACTTTTAGTGGCCACAGTATACGTTTTTTTATAAAAATTAAAAAATTATTTCAAGATTTTTATTAATCTGTCATATTAAATGGACTCACCGTAGGGGGACGCATTCCCGAAATTGGGACTGGATGCCAGTGCCGCAAGATCTAGAACATTCGCTCCATGAACTCCACATACCCCAAGTTCCTCTTATCCTGTTGTCATGGCTGATTCCAAATTGTGTTCTTTCTTGTAACATATGATACACCTAGAAAAATCAACACTGTTCCGTCAATCGTGAATTCTTCAGTTACAGTAGAGCTGAAGAACTCCGAAACTTACAGTCAAATGTAAAATTAATATCTTAAAAAGAAGAATAATTTTCAAGTAAATTTATTTTTAATTGTTTAATTATATGTAAAATATTTTATTTTAATAATTTATGTAAAAATAACTATACTTCATTTATCAATTATCTTTCACATACATTTTAGCTTACATTACTTTTTAAATACAGATACTTTATTAATATTCGGACGCAATTTTATCTAATAATAAATATTTATTTCCTAAATTCATTTAAATGGGAAAGAGAGATTTTAATCAACTGAGGTAATATTTTTCACAATAAGTTCTTTACATGTTTTAAGATGCTAAATAGTACCAATGATTTAATTTGTTATATAAATTTAATTTAATAAATTTAATTGTATAAATTTAATTTGGAAGGATTATTATTATCTATTTCAGATCGTGCAAATCTGTCTTTGTTGTAAATCTGAAAAGTAATCGTCGCACAGTCATATATCTGAGATAAATTTATTTAACAAATTAATTAAATAAAGAAAGGGATGACAAGTTTTGCACGATGATAATGCAAATAAAACAAATTATATTTTCAATTTAAAAAAATTATTTAAATACATATAGATGTATTATTCTAATCTGACCGTATAAATAATATTTTTTTTACTTAGTTTATTTATTATTCATTTGACGGTCTTGATTCTTACTTATTATTGTTTATTTAAATCTTGTTTCCAAGTTTTTTGCTTATCGTATCACTCTTCATGATAGATAATTGCGCGAGTGTGAAAAGCGACGATAGCTATTACAGTGAAAAAAAATATCGAAGCAGGTAACTAGACGGTAATTAAACGATGAGGCAGATACGTATGTCTGGTATTTTGTTCCTGTTAATCACACGCCAACATCATAGAGCACAAACTGTTTGTTCGGTAATTAATATCGCTACTGCGAACGAGATCCCAATTAGATCGTATGCGTTTCGGTATCACGTACTCTTGTCGTGATTAATTAAACGAAAGATCGATTACCGTATTGCATACACACGGCGTTGAATTAACGGCATTCGATCTATCTCCGCGCACCATAGGCTACTCGTTGCATTAACTTCTGCCGGAAGTTTGCTAAAGTAACGTCGCTTCACCACCAGGAAGAAAGGCATGACGTTCTCACGTAAAGATTTCCCGCGCTTCATACTTCACGTCCGATCCTCCCTTCGATCGCGCACGTCTAATTAATCAAACGGGAAGAGTCGCATCTCTTGTTCCCTCGCACGCTATGGGCGTAATATCTCGAGACCGGAATACAAATCATCGATTTCGCCGAACCTGTCGCGAGACGAATAACAACCGTTAAATCTCGAAAGGCCTCTTAAATGTGACTTTTGTTCCGCCCACGTTTGTCAATTTGTTCTGTGCGTCGCGTCACCGAGGATCGCTTCTATTTTTAACAAGCCGATAAGGATTTAGATTTCACGAAAAAAAAATAACACAAACAGGCAATTACGCTTTTTGTAAACATCGTGTGTCAATATTGAATTTAGTGTCAAACGGTGAATTTAGAATTCGAATGAAGAGCTCTTAGCTATTTTTTTTGCAAGTCGTTAACCCCAAGAGCAGCAAACTAATACTTCCTTAATACCTGGCATTAACTCTGGAACGTTAATCACAGCGTTTATACAGTAAAGGCTCTGTACAAAGAAGGATATATTCTTGGATATATATGAGGAGATATTTTTACAGTATACGGAATAATGAGACCTTATCAAGAATAAATTCATGTAACGATAATACTTCAGAGAGAGAGAGAGAGAGAGAGAGAGAGAGAGAGAGAGTACGATCAACGTAATGCTTTGATTGATCAATTCGTAAAATTCTTTCCTCTGATTGATCAATCAAGTGCTTCAAAGCATTTACAGTGAGACTTTGACCGTATTTAAAAAGAAAGGATGCTTCATGTATTTTTAAATAATATTGAGGGGAAGACATGAATCTGATTAGAAGCTAATCGAATTGAGTTTACTTGAGTTTCTATTACTTTGTCTGGATTTTCATATCAAATCGATAAGAATATAATTATAAGAAGATAGCATATGAATAATATATAAGAAAACATAAAGATAATATAAAATATATGGATAATATAAAATATATAATATCGCATGAAAAGTGACTCAAGTCGAAACTTTTCGAATTTCATATTATGTGCAGATTGTATTTTAAATCTATCGGCCTTCAGAAAAAGTGATGGAAGTTAATCGAATTCAAACAGAAAGTAGAATAGAAAGAATAGAAAGAAAACGAGGAAAATGACACCAATTAAAATAGGAGTAATTTTTAATAGTCTAATATAACACCGTTAAATATGATTATTTTTTTTATCGATATTACTTTTACAAATAAAATTTGAAAGTAATTTGTAAAGCTGTAATTAACTTATATTTAATACTGCCGTAATAATTAATTTTTAAATATGCAATTTTCTTTTCCTTCTCTCCTGAACAATTTTATATTTTTTACTTGTATCATTTTTTTCGGTGATATGCAAAAAAGTATAAATATAACAGAAAAATAAATATACAAATCATAATAACATGGAAATAAACATGGAAACATGGAAACAATGATATTCCTAAAGTATCTAAAAATTTAGATAGATACAGATCTGAAAATAATTTTGTTAAGCTATCAAAATAATTGTATTCAAACTGATTGCTAGAATGTCAAAACTTTTTACAGCATTACTTATCATAAAATTCCTACGTAATTGTTTTAATAGTACAACAAAATTATTTTTAGATCTGTATCTAGTTAAATTTTTAGATACTTCAACAAAACTGTTCTTTCCATTAGAAAAACTGATGAGAAATTATACTCTACAGTTAAGCTTAGCTGAAAATTCGTCGAGAATTACGTAATGCTCTGAAAATTCTTATTATAGTATTGGTCTTTCAAGAAAGCAATTCCGGAAGTGTGTATCGCTTCGGAGAAGCGACCTTGACGTCAACGTAGGCCTAAGATGAAGGTCGCATGTGTAACATTCGGGTAGCCGGAATGCGCCGTATTTCTTAAGCTGTGTCGTCTATTTTCGTGTCATTCGTAATACACACGTTTTCTAGAACAAACGGGTTCTTAAGTGTAATTATAAAATGGCAGCGGTGGTTGCACAGCATGCAGACCGTGTTTGCGTTCGTTCTCGTGTCGCACACCACGTGGCCTTGTTCTCTGTACCAGCGTAATTTAGGGACCTCCTTCGGTGTCAATTAATTACCCCCTCACTCCGCATAATGCCACGTAATTGCGTATTAATTCCCGCAAGTGGATCGAATTAATATGCATCTCGCGCACGACGAGGATTGTTGTCAGAGAAGCGAACGGAATTGTCGCAATAGCCAATCGCGAGATCGAATTTAGCTTGTCGCGGACGTGATTATTTATTGATGCTTAATCGACGACATTGATTCTGAGTAAAAGCTTACTAACTAGCATAACTAGCTTGTCATCGAACTATACTGTAAAATTAGTTCCCCGTCACTTGCCATTATTAATGAAATGAGATTGTTTTTCGAAGTTTACATTGTTAGATATCAAAAAGCAATGGTAACTCAATTCCTTGAATTAAATAACATTTTATTATTTCTTATCTTCACACTGAAAAAAAAATTACAAAATTTGAATAAATATTTGTTTAGATTTAGATTAGAGAGTACTAATGAGATCACATTTGCTTACGGACAATACATACTTATTTAATTTTTAAAAAATGATACTTAAATTTAAATATAATTTTTTTTAATTAACAATAAATAAGAAGAGGCTACAAGCCAGATTTTTATTTCAAATTCTAAGAACATATGTTTATGTCTGAAGTTGACGTTTATATCTTATGTTATATCACTAATGACCTTATTATTAGGTCATCCTTATTCATGTAGAGAACGCAAATTTAATAAAATTAATAAAAAACGATTAGATTTATACAGATTTATACAATTTCTACAGATTATAGTTATATAAAGTCTTGATAGTATTCCTTCATATTTATCTTCTGTCGTAATAACGTAATGCTTTCAGTTTTGTAATATTTTCAGTTACATTCTTCCATTATATCGATCGCAATTAGTCCATAATGATGGTAAAATTATTTAAACATGTTGAGTCATTCAATAAAAATGTACAACGCATATTCTCAAACGCGAATGTTTAACAAGAATATAAACCAGTAGTTGAAACAATGTTGTATTGTAAAGATAAGACTTACTTCTATGGGATATTTGTCGGGTATATGGGAAGACGAGACACCGGCCGTGCTCAGCATCATCAGGGCTAGAATCGATCTGCAACAAAGATAGAGGCAGGCGTATAAATCGATCTATTATAAATACGAAGATCGATGAGCGTAATGGCGGGTGCAATTTATAGTTTCGTGACCGAAAACCGTTCGCACCGAGCGGGGCAATTACTCTTTTATCGTCAGCAGAATCGCCCGTTCGCCTGCTTTCATTGAGTTAGAAATTTCAAGAATGCGATCTTAATCTTCATTGAACAACTAACGCGCATTTTCGCAGATGTGCAATGATAATAATGAATTGAAGCCGATAATGTCAGCGATAAACTTTATTTAATCCTTTGCGCTTTTATGTATTTCTCTTCTCGCTTTAACTAATAAAAGTGCGTTAACTAATAAATTATAAATATAAATATAAATTACTTATAAATATAATAAAAATAAATGTATTTACAATATACAATTAAAAAGAGTTTGTATCTGTCTTTCTCTTTCTCTAATTATTGTGTTAATCTTTACACATATCATTTCCTTATTTACTCAAAATTGACACAACTAAAAAAAAATTTCTCGAGTTATTACCATGAATGAATTTAGTAAACATTATCCATCAAAAGCAGATTAATTTCATTTCATTTAAAAAATCGTCATAAAAAGGGCAGTTTTTTAAAATCGTGAAACAAAAATGACAAAAATGGCATTGTTTCTAAAATTCTTTTTGCCGATATTATTTAATTAATCAATAATTTTCTGTCAAGAAAATATTGTAGTTTCTTCCTGGAAAACTTAATTTTTTTTAGTTGTGTTACTTTTGAAATAAGAAAGAAAGATATCTAAAAATTAACGATCAAAAAATATTTCACGCAAATATAGTATATTTATCTTAAAAAAAAAACATATTTTGTAATATATACGACACGGAGTTAAACTTATCCAAAACGGTAAAAAAACTAATTCTCGTTGACAGGTCTCGGACAACATGTTACTTCCATTGGCATTAATCATTAATAATGCAGCTTAACTACGTAGATGTAGATCCTGGCAATCGATATAACCAATTCGCGTTGACTTATCTCGACTTGATCGAACTACACCATACGCACGTCTCAATTTTTCCCATCGCATACAGTCTCTAGGTTCTTTCTCCACCCTTCCCCCTTGCATCCTGAGATCGAACTCGACATGCAATCTCAACATCCGTTGCCACGCGGGATAACTATTACGCACCACGTCCCCGGAAACGACATTTTTTTTCGGTTGACGAATTAACTTGGGAGCACGTTCATGGCTTTATAAACACAGCATATAAGAAAAGAAAAATAAAGAAAACGTGACGAAAATACAGCACATATATTACCTGATATATCTAACTAAAATATTTAATGATAGATAAAACATGAGATACATTAAAAGTAGGTTTTAAGTATGAATATTTAGTATATGAATAGAGCTTCGGCCGAACTCGCTTTCTTCCAGCTAAAGGAAAAGGAGAAGTGCAAACAAGCGAGATTTGCAACGAAGAAAATATGCATAGACGGCGAAACTGCGACCAACTTGTCACTTCTCCACGTTAATTATTCATAAGCGTCTAAATGGCGTCTGCGAGCTGGGAAACATATACGGACAAATAGAAAACGCATACGGCGATGATAAGCCGTGATGCGTAGTTATGATGCCAGTCGTATTATCTTTCCATGGAAATTACTCAAAAGCGATACTGAAAAGAGGAAGCAAACCCCGATGCGAAATCCAGATGGCGAGAAGCTTTGATGCGTCGAGGCACCGTTCTGTGAATTGAATACAGTCACAAGCAAGATAAGGAAAAATCTGATACTACAATATTTGACTTAAATATTTTACATCCAAGTTATGCAAAGACGCTCTTAATGTCAAAATAAACAAGGAAATATTATTGTCTGTTATAATTCATTTTTTTTCATTGCTTCTTAAATATTGATATGACACTGTTTCAACATCGTCATAGTGGCTTCTCCTCTTCCTGTAAAGATTAACAATTAATAATTATGTGTAATTTAATAAATAGATTTAATTTTCAAATAAATATTTTTTTATACTCTACAACATATCTAAAGCCTATCAAAATCAGTGAGGGACAGTTCCGATCATTCCTTTGTAAGATCCATTCTGTTTGACTCTTTTCGGATAAATTTCCGAACGCCCGATTATCATGAAATTTGGCAGAAATATTCCAAATGAATGCCCTTAAATGGAGTTTCATCGACAAAAAAATTTAATGTCAAAAATGTATAAGTAAATTTATATACCACCTAAATACATTACCATTACATAGCTCGCTGTAATAGGGCGTGTAATAGGGTCTGAAGCAGGGGATAAAAAGGATGAGAGTCGGGGGTGAGAGTCGTGCGCCCCTTTGCAGGGGGGAGCAGGAGATGAAGTTTCTTCACGCCTTATTACAGCGAGTTATGTAACGGTAATGTATTTAGGTGATACATAACTTTACTTAAACATTTTTGACATTAAACCTTTTTATCGGTGAAAATCCATTCAAGGGCAATCATTTAACGTCATTTGGAGTATATCTACCAAATTTCATGATAATCATGATATTTCACGTTTTCGGAAGTTCACCCCTCTTTTCTTTCTTATTTATATTTATTCACTTATCTCGGTCTATTTCTATTTATTACAGTTAAATAAAAAAAAAAATCGAAATATTCATATTTCTTGACGTGCATCGATCGAGTTAGAAGCCGAGTCTCAAGGTTCTCGCGCGAACAGGAAGAGCAACACACAAGCTAAGAGATCACACACAAAGGGGCGAAGGGGAAAGCCTTCGACCGGCGCTGATCCAAGTAAACTGTGCCACTAAGTGTTAATAACGTTTCACTTGTTGCGTTTTCTCGGAAAGCTTAATTAATCATTAGATCGCGCCGCCGCGGATCGAGAGGGGGGAGGAGGGGGGAAGGAAGAGGCAGGCATTCTGACGCGGGATGGAGAAGAGCAGTGGTGCAGCCAGCAGTAGCGCACGACGCGCGTACGCAATTGTGCGTGCATACGTAAGCGTGTTGTGTACTCGCGCGAAATCAGAAAAATGCGCTATCTCAGCTATATCCACACGCGCGACGCGCTCGTAATCGAGGGGCGGCATGTCTTTCGCGATGCACCAGTTGCATCACACGCGAGCGAATGAAGCATTGCGACGTAGCGCGTTCGCCCGCGACGCCCAACGCCGTGTAGCCATCTGCCCTGAGATCCTACTCACTGCAGAAGACACGCTGCGAAGAGGATCGGATCGCGCGAGATCGCAGCCGGATTGAGAACGAGGAATTTCTGATTTTTGTCTACGCCACGGCTGCGAGCGAGACTCCCGTCGTCGTTCATTACATGCCTCTCCTTATTCGCGATGCGATTCGCTGCTGAGATCGCACCAGGCTGTTTTCGATTATCTATACGTGTTGAGGCGACTTGGGCAACCAGAAAATAATTGTCCCGGTTAAGTCATCTTTTTATCTCGATATCTTTAACTAAACGACTTGTGTATATCAAATAGTATCAATATATTGTATTATATAAAATAATTAAATGTAATTATTAATCTCTTTAGGGGACGAGAGTCTATTTTAAAAATCTTACAACTTTTTCTTAAGTAAGATTGTTATAATTCATTATTCTTTCATTGTACCTTAAAATATGAAACTGTTTCAGCTATAGTGAATTTTTTTCTCATCATATTAATAATTAATAAAATAATTAAACATAAGAAAAAATAAAGACAAATGATTTGCTAAAAAGAAGTTGCCTTATGGTAAGATATGCATTGATATGTATTGACATCAATTTGTACATCAATATGAAAGGAAAATTGAACGAAACAGCTACTAACAGCGTATTCAATTTTAGCTCTGCAGAAAGTCAGTCACATATATCTCAATTCTCAAAGGAGATGCTGATAGATATTTACATTCATATATTCCCTTGCAGATGCAAAGCAACGATGTTATCTAGCTCTTTCCGACTCTTAATTGACATTCAAAATTCTCTATATTAATTTATTTCCGTATCAGTCTCTTTTTCTCTCTGCTTAGAAGAGAGTGCACCAATAGAGATTCCGCACTTATCAGCGACAATGGCGATCGCGGATCGCGTTTCACGGCGCGGCTCACAATGCAAATAAATTCTTGCCGAAGTATCGGCGATCGATCTCTCCAACAAGAGCCCACAAAGTACGGACAACTACGAACCGTATCCACGACCCGTTACGACTTCCCCTATCACGCAGCCCGTCACGGCGCGGCGTATCTCGCACTTACGACAAACAATGCTGGTCTTGTACTCAATGGCGTAGGAATGTGAAAAATCGATCGACAAGAAGCAGCAGCGCGTTTCAGCCGTCTTTACAAAACCCGACCAGAATCCTTCTATTGACGGCGAGCACGGGACGTCAATCGCGACCAGATACGCCACCATAAAGTCAAGGGACCTCAATGACCCTCGTTAAGGGGAATACCAGAGTCAGTTTTTGTCGCTAGAGAGAAATTATTAACTCTGTATTCTCTTAAATGCAAGTCGGCGCATCTTCCACTTCCGCGAATCTTTGGCAATTTGGATCAAAAGTCGGTCAGAGCGATAGAGCTCGAATTCCGAGCAAACGTAAAACAACAAAATAATATTGCGATATTATATCAATGTAGATAAATCATATTAAACGTAATAGTGATATGTATTATGTTTTTCTCGTTCGTAAAATTAAAGGAATACGCGGAAATGTATAGTGTAATGTATATAAAATTTAATTGGTTTTTTTGTGACTGCAATAGAAATTGCAGTAGAAAGATAAATTTTATATTTTATATCATACTCAAATTATGCGTATTCTTCTTATTATTATAATTTACCCGATCTAATGAGGAAATTATGCAATTGAAAAGTCACTTAATATAAAAAAGATATAAATATATTTTTAAATAAAATAAAATGTAATGTATGTGTGTATGGGGCGAAGGAAATCGATTTATAAGCAACTTGTATATACAAATTGTTTGAACAATATATATCACTCTCTTACTT